ATAGATTAGACTCAAATTAGACTTTAACATTGCAAATTCCATTACGAGCGGTCAATAAGTGATAAATTTTATTGATCTCATGAGAATAGTAAATAATGGCAAACATTGGGAAAAGTTTATTTATTTAACACTTTTATAAAAACCGACTTCATTTGTGGGAAAATACAAAAATTGTGTACGAAACCTGCATTCTTCACCTTTAAAAATTATTTTGATTTTAATCGAAACGGATACTATGATCAAAAGATGTCCAATTTTTACCGTCGAGTTGATACAAATTTTAATTAAAATTGATTTTGCGCACGTAACTGACATTCAAAATCACCGGTGGCTTCAAGCGTTATTTGTGAGAGTTGGCTTAATTCTACACAAAAAGAGCAAATAAACATTTTTGTTCAAAATTATGTATCTCAGCTATATTTTTTATTTGAAACATTTTTTTATACGGCGAACATAATTTTGATAAATCGATGTTTTCCATTTTTCTCGCCGCAAAAAGTATCATGTTTATTCATAATAAAACAATATCCCTACTATAATTTTTTCTATAAGTATAGTATAATAAAGATTATATTCATTTACCTTTTTACAACATCCTCAACAACTTCATCGTACACGTCTTTCTGCTGAACCTTATAAAATATTCCGTCTGTTATAAATTCCCAATAGCTAGGAGGCATAGCCTGTTTAGTAACATCTTTTAGCTGTTCTAGTCTTCGTATGAACATTGTAGAATCTGAAATTTTTACATGTTCCTGGTCGATTTTACATAACGAACTAATTCTATAAAAAACCTTAACATAATGGTTTCCTAGTTGATACTTATTCGTTTTAATACTAGAAAAATTTTGCCGGGAAGTAACCAATTTGGTGGCACAATCCATTTTATGGGAAATATTAAATATTTTATAAGGATAAATGTCAAAATTACATTGACATTTATTGGACTTGATATTTGAACTTCCGGTCAATACAAGTTTATTTACATCGATTTTGAATAGTTTTGATGATTGTTTCAGTCCATTATCTTATATTTATCAGCCACAAATTTCGTCGTCTACACGGACCTTTTACTTTACCTTAAATTATAATTTGAAAAATGTGTTATTTATCATTTCTCATATTTGACCAAACTATTTGATTTTTGTGTATTTAAATTTACAGACCAGTTTTTTTGGTCTGATGTATTCTTTACACAACATTTATGTTGATTTTAACCCATTAATGTCCAGAACTATGAATTTTTATTGAAACCATTTAAACCAAGGTTTTGTTTTACTCAGTTATTAAACATGACATGAAAAATGTTTTTAGTTTATGATTTAAAAACTACCCTTTGGACACTTACCGAAATAAAAACTAAGATTAAGTTTTTTTAATTTATTGAAATTTCAATGATCACAATAATATATATGAAATTCGTCAAAACCACGATACACTTGTATCGTGTAAGTGTATCGTAGTCAAAATATTTATCGTGGAATTCGACAACTTTCACAGGCTGTCGTAGTTTTATTTTTACACAGGGAACATCTTTTTGTCTGTTGGCAAACTATTAAATGCGGCTTTCTGAGGTGATATTGTACCAAGAAGCTCTCTTTATAAAACATCGGCAGAGTTTAGTACAACATATTGTCCAAGACCCTGGTATTTATTAGATATTTAATCTTTGATATATAATATATCATAAACAGTTTACAGTTTGATACATTATGTTAAACTGTAAGCAATAGCGTAATTTGTAAGCTTTGTAGACGAATTGTCTTCATCATCATCAGTGGTGCTACAGCTCTAGTTGAGCCTTGACCTTCTCCAGTCTATTTCGCCAGTCGTTTCTGTTCATCGCCAACCGTTGCCAATTTGCCGCGCCGATCTTCCTTGCGTCCTCGTCCACACCGTCCCTCCATCTCAGTCGTGGTCTGCCTCTACTCCTATTTCCCACTGGGACCGATAATAGAGTTCGTCTGGGTGGGTAATTTTCATTTGCTCTTGACACATGTCCAGCCCATCTAAGCCTACCTATTTTTATGAAGGATATTACATCTCTACCATTTACTATTTTTTCATACTTCTCGTACAATTCGAAATTATATCGCCTTCTCCAAATACAATTCTCACAGAATGTGCCCATTATTGGTCCATGTTTCTGACCCATATGTCAGCACTGGTAGGATGAGTGTTCGATATATTATTAGTTTGGTTTTCTGGCTTAAATTTCTGTTTTTTAGCTGCTTGCTTAGTCCAAAATAACATTTGTTTGCTAGCAGTACCCTCCGTTTAACTTCTTCAGATGTGTCATTATCGTTTGTTATGAGAGAACCCAAATATGTAAACCTGTTTACTACCTCAAATTATATTGGTCTATACTGAAGTTTTGTTCGGCGTTTCTAGCTCTATCTCTGTTATTTGGAATAGATGCTAACATTTTGGTTTTTTCCTCGTTTATTTTAAGGCCCATATTTTGTGCGGCTGTCAAGAAGGCGGAAGTCATCTCTTTAAGTCCTCGTGTAGTACGTGCAATCAAATCCAGATCGTCAGCGTAAGCCATAATCTGCGTTGATTTATTTAAGATTGTTCCCCTATTGTGTAACTCGGCATCTCTTATAGTCTTTTCTAACGCTATATTAAAGAGAAGGCACGCCAGCGCGTCTCCCTGCCGTAACCCTGCATATGTTTCAAACGCTTGTGTCATATCGCCTTGTATTTGCACACTTGCACTCAATTTATACGCAGTAAGACGAATTGTCTTACTGCGTATAAATTGTTTACAGTCATGTTTTTCATAATTAGGACTACTTCACTAGTCGATGGATACATTTGGTGGCATACATCGACAATTAGTCGATGGCAAGGGTGCAGAATGCAAAACATTTTCATTCAGTGTTGCAATAAATAGGCGTAGTAGCTTTCCCATTTTGTCCCCATGAGGTAACTTGTTGTTATCATATGCATGAAAAAATCTAGTTATCTCCTCAAATCGATTACGCCGTATTAATTAAAATACTAGTGCATTGTGCACATCTTCTGCTTCTTCGAAAAACATTCTTGGGAAAATGTTGCGAAAAAGTGGCGTTAACCAGAAGAACTTCGATAAATTCATACAACTCTTTGCTTGATAGTTCAAATTTAAAAAAGTCTTTATGAGTATTGTACATAATAGTATATTTCACTAGCTTTTTGAAGACTGACTGAGTTATGAAAAGCAAAAAAATTTGGTCCCGGCTTTAGATTTTTTTTTAGAAGTTTGCACGATTATAGTATTTGCATATTATTGAATATAATTTATTTTGTGTGCCTCAAACATCATCAAACGTTTGTATTGCTACAAAGTCATGCCCTTACCTAATTCTTCCATTTCTGAACATCTATCCTCTATCTAGTTTTCTTTAGCCGCTCGTATTTTTTGTTTTATTTCTCTTTGTTTTCTTCCTTATTGGTTTGCTTTGTCCTTGTATTGCCTTTTTTTGTTCCATAAGATGTAGTATTTCTTCCGTCATCCATTGAATCTATTAGTTAGACTATGTTATTCTGTTTTCTCAATATTTTCGGTTATTCTCATTTCTTTCATGTAATTGTTTACATAATTTTCCATTTTACTTTTGTTGACATCTGAAATAGTAATATTGTTTTGCTGAAGTTTTTAGGCTGTCTCTTGCAGCAACGACTAAGAGTTGTGATCAGATCCAATATGTGCTCCAGGGTATGTCATAACTCTACTAATGGAGTTCCTAAATATTTTGTTGAAAAAAATGAAAGAAAGAGCTTTTTCTTCAAGTTCCATATTCTATCGAAGGTTTGAAATCATCATGGCTATGTGGACCCTGTTGACTGATCCTCTAAATAGTTACTATTAAAGTAACAATAAATAAAGAGTTAGTAAAGAAAGCGCTAGGTATGTAAAAAAAATCAATTGGAGTTATTACTCCTCTGTCCACGGGTTTTTCCAAGGAAGTCACTATAAGTCACTCAGCTTCTTTCAATACTGGCATACGCAGATCAGATGATGAAGGTTCCGGAATTATTAAACCACTTGCATCAATTTCGTCTTCGTCGAGCCAACCGGCATTCTCTTACGATATCTCATTGTAGCTCACAATGCAGAGAAACGTATTTACCCTTTTGGCAGCAAGCTGCTGGATGCACATAATTATTTTCATAAATTAATTAAAGCAACGATTACAGCAATAAAATATACTTTGGAAATTAACCTTGATACTTTCCTGACGCCCACAATTTTTTTAGTTCGTTCTTTATTTCAGTACTATTTTCTTGTTCTTCTTCTTCAGCCGTAAGTAATCCAACTTTGAACATAGGCCTCCCCAAATCAATCCAGTGTCTTCTATTTTGCGCCACTTGCTTCCAGTTGTGTCCTCCGATCTTCTTAATATCATCGGCCCATCTCATTTTTCTTGTTCACTTATCCTTAATTCTATCAGTTTGTCATATTCATTTTCAGGTAACTGTCTTTTAGAGGTATACAAATTGGCCGAATCTTTCCTGAGTTTAATTGGTCATCCTCTGACATAGCGTGCTAGCCAAGCTGCATTAAGTCTCACAATATTATGTTGTGAGCACATCTCTTATCATTTTTGTTACATTCTTGTAACTATGTAAGCCCATATTAAATTGGTGCTTACCACAAAAGCCGTCTGTTACAACTGTAAACTAGCGCCAAGATTTTTTTTTTAAATTTTCATTTTGTTATTTATTATTTTCTTTTATTTAGATTTTAATAAAATTGAAAAAGTACATGTTGTAACGGACTCTATAGTCGCGTAAATGGACTCTTCCAAATATTTTCTGTGACTTCGAATCACGATCCGCTATTTCGTTTCGTGGCGCATTTTCGTCTCAGCCTCAGAAAAAGTAATAAATACTAGTGTAGAAGCTTGGCTTCAATAATAATCTGAGATATTTGTTAGCCACTATTTAGAAATGGAAATTGAACTATGGTAGTACAGTAGTTCGATGTGGGCTATTTCAAATAAAAAAAATAACTTGGATTATCAAACATATATTTTTACAAATAAAATAAAATTTATAATAAAACATCTCTAAATTGAGAATAAGATCTCAAATATTTCAATACTTAATCATTTCCATATACAAAATGCATCTAACCTATCTAAATTGATGTACACTTATTCTGAGTCCAATACAATCCTTTCCAATTTCAGCTACCCGGCAAACATTGCACAAGGTTCCCTTATATTTAGGCAAGTAAGAAGTTCCACACAAGGGACATTTTTCTTCAGCTTTTCCTCTGTAAATCGGTGTATACGAGTGACCACACAAATTGAAAGGATTATGTTCATCATACTGCATCTGTAATTCATCGGTGAGATTGGTATCACAGGCTTGAATGATCTTTCTAGCTTGTTGAGCTACTTCAGGTCTTGGACCGAGCTCAAGAAGTCTTTTAGCAAATGATGAGGCTGTTTTGTAATTTTTGAGCTTAAAGAACATGTTTAGAGCAGTCCTGAGTGTTAAAATTTGATGTATAGGCTGAAACAAAAAGCAATATTTTTAAAAAAATCTCAGTAACGTTAAGTAAAGAAATGAGAAAATGTAGCAATTGTCAGTAAGTAGATGGATAAAAAATTTTAGCCAAAGCTACCGACGAAAAATCGGGTATATTTTCAGGGCCTACGGACCAAGAAACCAGTATTTTACAGAAAAATAAATTTTGCCTTTTAGTTGCCGCAAAATCATCATAGGTTCATTGTTTGGCTATTTTTTTTATTTCGGAAGATGTTTTTTAAGTGATATCTTCTAGTTATCCGTACTATGTTTCTTTTTTTGTTTTATTAGTGTCTTGTCTCGTTTCTATTCCTTGTCGTAATAGGGCTAATACAAGTATTATATAATATTTACTATAACTTTACTGCTCTCGTGTATATGTTATTCCAAATTACATTTTTTAGACATCATGACACCTTTGCTGCTGTTTGCACGAGTTTATAAGGCTTTTTACAACTTATGCCGGGTTGTGACCAATGGAGAGTTCAATTCTTAGATATTTAAACTGTAATATATGTTCTACAGTTTCATTGTTTAATCACGGAATTGTATCTTATTGGCTCTCTAAATATGGACATGCACTTTGTCTTCTCGATTGATATGCTCATTACTTCTCTGTAATTTGTGCAACTGTCTGTACGCCATCCTCAGTTTGGTTATAATTACCGCGTCATTACAAAGCAGACCATACAGATCCGTTTGTTGTTCATTCTGTGCCTCCACAAACATCCCTTTCTAAATCATAGTCAGTATCTGAAGCAATCGGAAGTGGGACTAAGAGAACTCTCGCTTCTGGTAATAAGCGTTTTCTGATTGCCTTTTGTATCTGTTTACCTATTGGTAATAAGGCTGCTGAAATTATATCGAGTCCATGGGTCAGAAATCGGTAAACTTCGGTGGGTATATACCAGGGATATAGTTGAACAAAGTACCTGGCTGTTTCTGTAATATACTTCCGAAATTTTTCTATATCAATTTCTTCACTACTCGAAATTGTTGGTAAAATAATATGAAAACGATGGATCAGTTCTTCGTCCATTCTGGTTATATGAGCTGATATATTCGTATTCTCAAAGAAACGTCAAGCTGTGAATTAACAATGCGATGCGAATATTTTGTTGGTGATATTCCAAAATTTCATGTTAGTTCCTTTACTATGTTAGAAGTATAGAGAAACTCATAAATCTCCGAAATAAAACGATAACTATACGTTTATATCAGGTTTTCAACATTACAAAAATATCGACACTTTAACATTTAATTTTAAAAAGTATTTTATTACTGGTGTAGTGGCTAGTAGTGCGGGTTTCCAAGTTATTTTGAAAGTCAATTAGCTATACTTTATACAAATATTGGACATTTAGCCTAATGCGGCCTAATACATAACTTTTCGATCATAGTCCAGGCGATATCTGTATTGAGTTACGTGGATGCATATACAAGCAATTTTTACATAAATTACTCTTATGTAGCATAAATCGCATAGTGAAATAAATTTCACTATGCATGAGCTGTAACATGTGTACTTAACTTTTTATTAAACAAAATATGAAAAAAATCCGATATTTTTTATCCTTTTTTATATATATCTCAAAAACTATTAGTTTTACAATAATTTTGAATAGGACATAAAAGTTTTCTAGTTAAATTAAAAAATAAATAAAAAAAATAGTTGAAGGTTTTCTGTGAGTTTATTTTCCATACTAAAATCCAATTTAGGACCTTCATATTCCAAGAAAGACAACTCTTTATTATATTTAATTATCACACAAACTCTCAATAAAATCAATTTAATAGTTTTTGCAAAATAATTTTGGAATCTACGTTTTTTTAATGAATAATTTTCAAAATTATGCCGGAAAAAAACTAAAACTTTTGTAAAAAAATGTTTTAACACCTAGACGAGTATTCAAGATTTCAAACCTATTTTGAAAAATTAAAATATGTCGATTAAAAGAGCCAAGGCAGTTTTTTTTAATTGTTTAAATTTTAGGCTTATAAACAATTTGAATAACTTTATCAATTATGGATCGATTTTAGTTTTCAAAACAGGTACTAAAAGTGCATCGAAAGACGCTTAAAAAAGACAAAATAAGATGATCATTAGTTGACATTCGTCAAGTACTTTTCTCAGTATATATTCAGAATATATGTTGTATAATAATGGTGAGAGTATGCAGCCCTGTCCAGTTCCTTTCTTTGTTTTAAACGCGTCTGAATATATTCTGAGTTTTATTATACAGACTTCCTATTAGGTTAACTAGGTGGTTAGGTACTCCCATCTAAACTTAACATTTATACCCAGACTCCCTTCATGATGTCCTCATGTTATATAGAGGCCATCACATGTGCAAAACGTAACAGGTCTCAGTATATCAGAATATTTATTAAATGGCACCCTTAACAAAATTGTTCTCAAATAAGATCATTTTCAATGATTGGAAATTTATAATTGAAAATATGAATTCCAAATTTGAAAATAACAAAATATTCCGCAGAAAACAATACTTGTACAGTAGGTTGCATAAAAATTTGATGAACTGTTGAGCTAGTCACATTGTTTTGCCTTTTTAACTGGACATGAATATGATTTCAATATTACATCTGAAATGACTGACTATATTGATAAAAGTGATAGTAATAATAAAATAGGATAAATTAGGGCTCAGTAGAAAAGATACTTCATCAAGAACTAATCGACAAACTGGGACTTCTCTACGATCTTCCTTATTCTCAATTTTCCCTGACAGTATACTTTCTTAGAAGTACGAGAATGTCAACTATAAGCGATATGGGATCAAACTATGCTCACAGACTAACCGGTGGAACATCATAGACTGGCTCTCATACTAATTACTAACAACACTTTACTTGACACAATTACTTAGCAACAACACTAATTCATGCGGGGTTACCTAAAAAAAATAATCGGTGTTTTAATACAACGAGAAGATCGAAAATTATGAAGATCTTGATATACAAATAAGGAGAAAATTGCGGATGGAAAGTACCCACACGATACTAGTGGCTGTAGCTCAGTGGCTATGGTCCTGGCTTACCGAGCCGGATGACCCGAGTTCCATCTGATGTACAGACACCAAAATTTTTTTATTTTTAATTTAAGTAAACCGCCACCGTGCTTACCGCCACCGTTAGCTAGACGTATCCGTCAGTAGTCGTTAACCCTACAACCTGGGCCAGAAGGTTACACGAATGGAAGATGTACAATAAGCTTCACAAAACTATGCAGAAAGCGGCATTGTTTTCAGAATCCAGATCGTAAGAAAATTTTTGGGAGATACTCCAGCATATCAAATCAGCTAAGGCTTGATAGCATAAGTATCTAGGATGAGTAAATTTCCCCTTCGATTAAGTGAGCTTAAGTGGTGTTATGGTTTAAATCTAATGTCTAGAAACAAAACTAATAATAATACATATTCAGGAATAATATTGTACAAGGCAAGTAGACCGATTTATTTAGCCCACGAAAAAGGAAACAAACGATGAACTGCATAATTTATCCACATACCTGGAGTTTACAATGTGTGAAGTAAGCCGCCATCTCGCATTGACGTTTCTGTTCTTCGTGTGAAGATTTCGGTAAGGTTTTTCTTAAAGTTTCCATCTGAAGACCACAAATGTATTCACTACATATCCTCAACAACTGTTGTGCTTCCGATATTTCTTGTTTATTCTCTACTACTACTAATGTTACTGAGAGAAGAAGGGTTTGGAATTTTTCTATGGCTTCCGTGAACTTGCCTCCTGTAGTCAGTTGATAGCAAGCCTGCAAAAGAAATGTCGATTATTTGTAAAGGAAAACTTAATTTAATAATCTTAAAGTTATCTTTAATAAATAAATCTTTAATAAACTTTAAAAAGATTCTGAAACCATACATCGGAGTTGTTTGAGTTTTAGATCATGATAATATACTACTGCATAAAAAACCAAATAGTTACATGTTTGGTGATTCATACATTTTGTTTTAATTATAGTGGTAAAAACTTTTATAGATAAGTTTGGATAATAGATAAGTTTATAGATAATTATTCTTCTTGAAAGATATTGTAAAAATAAAAATATTAACGTGTTCGTAAATACATTAATGTATTAATATATACTGATTGTTTTGTAGGTGTTGTCGAGTGCTCCCTCTATATCGAGAAATGCATCCAGCATCATTTCTTGGTTTTCCAGAACGTAGTCCACCCTGTGTACGAGATTGTGCAGTGCCGTCTCTGTAGAAAATTCTACTCCATATCCATACTCTCCTTGACATACCGGACTTCAACCTATTCGAACTATTCAACAAATACACCATTCATCATTTTCCTATCGAGCAGATTTTCTAGAGCCTTCAGTACAAGTGACAGACTTATCGGGCTTAGGGTTTTAGTTTCATCCTGTCCGGTTTTGCCAGTATTTCGATATAAAGCCTCCCTGATGAGCCTCCATGTTTTTGTTATGTACCGTAGACCTAAGCTAGCCAATAGTATTATAGATAATTGTTTTGTCATTTCCCCTGTGTAGAAGTATTGGATAAATGCTGTCCGTGCCCAATTTTATCCTGATCTATTACTTCTATTGGCACACGCCAGTTTTCACTAGAACCATAAGTTATAGTCTCCAGTTCAATCTACTGTCGTATATCTAGTGGTATCAATTCTGGTTTAGACTCGAAAAAGTGCACCTTGAAAGAACTTAATATACATATCCTCAGAATGGTGACCTGACTCCTTTTAGAGTGAGGGTATATTTATTTGAAGGTCCGCAAACAGAACTTTATGAAGCCTTGACGTTTCTGCCATCTGTTCTATCTCCTCACAATTCCTTCTCAATCGTATTCAGTTAGAGCTTTGCGACAGACCCACTCAGCTGTTTTTTTTTGGCGTTATTAAATCTTGTCTGATTTGCACTTTTTCCAGACAACTGTTTTCGAACGCTGATATGACAACCTCTTGAAATTGTTCGGAAGCTATGTCCAGTATATGACTTATCGTCCCTTTAACCCTGTCTCAATGATAATCCAGGTCTGCTTGATCATGATATGCTTCCTAATCTGTTTTACAAGGGTTGTGATAAGTTTCCTTGATAGGCTCATTACCTAAACAAAGACACATACATCATCGGACACATGCCATTTTTGAACAGTTTGAACAAAATAATAAGTATCTCTAGGCAGTATTTATACTTAATTTTTCATAGGAGCCATTTTAACTCCGATTGAAATCCATTTGCTAGGTGTAAATGTATATGGCAATTCTTCACCTTTAAGATTTAAAAGCCGTTAAAGGCTTTTATAGCCGTTTAACCGTGGCTATAAAAGTGTTCTAGATGATCCATGCAAGGAACGTCCAAAAACTGTAAAAACAGGAAATTATGGACAAAGTAAATGATATGGTTTTGGGTGATACGCGTATAAAGGCGAGTAAATTACCTAGACAATAAGAATATCAAAGATATCTGATGGTGATATCTTGAAGTAATTATTAAACATTACAAAGGTCATGGACGTATTTATACGTCCATGTATCAGACCAAGAACTTTTCAGACCATCCTCATATCACCACTAGAAGACATTTTTAGGAAAGAGGCCCAATATTTAACAAAGCTGAACAATTTGCAAAAAAACGAAAATAAATACTTAAATAAATTATTATTACTTAAGTAAACTTAAATAGTTTTCCGCGAAGATTTTGTCATATGTACATAGTTAGGAATAATTAAATGTTTATCGGCATAAGTTAATATTATACTACTGTAAATTAAATATTTTTGGTAACGTCACTTTTAGCAGACATTGGTTTCAGAGTTTTTTTTGTATATATAAAAGGTTGGCGAGGATGTTTTCAATAGTTTTAGTATGGTTTAGTGGCAAGTATATGTATTATATATAACTATTCATTGGTCTATGTTGAAATAAAGTGTTTAGTAACGAACTGACGCTTTCATTAAAATCATAATACTTTACCTGTAATTTGGCGACTAGTTCATTCAATTTCACACCAGAAGCAGGCAACTGGTTCTTAAGGTTGGCATCTTTCCAATTTCTCAACGGGTAGCTAAATGACGGCGGTATATTTTGCTGCCAAGAATAAACTGTTCTAGAACTGCTATACAAACTAATAAATAAGCTTTCGTATGGTTTAAAATCGACTACTCCTAATTGATCATGAAGCAACCTCGCAGCTGATTCGAACGAACCGGCAGCAATGTGGTCAGCAACCAACTGCGAATTTTTGGTCCATGTAACCAGTGGGGATGGTCCTGAAAAAATGTATGACGTATAGTAAAAAATTGTGAAATGTCAAAACATTAATGGTTACCTTGCGTAGGCAAATGAACAAAATTGCCCTCTGCTTCAACAGCAACCGATGGACCCAAATCAGGTATTTCCAATCCTTCATCTTCAACATCCCAGCCGCCTTCACCATCACCACCACCTGCAGCAGCTTCAGCTTTCTTCTCTTCTGGATCCAGCTCCAGTTCGTCGTCGTCTCCCCAACCTGGTGCCTCTTCCATTCCCATATCAGCCACAGGTTCGGCCATGAGAGATTTCATGTTAGCCGAAGCTGTAGCAACTGCGGCCGTATTTTCGAAAAATCCCTGCAAAGAACAATAGAGCAAGTTAAAAACATTTGTTAAAATACCAAAAACTTTAATAATAATCGAAAATACAATATATAAGGTACTATGCTAAGAAAAGTATGTTTAAAATTTGCCTTTACCTTTGCTGTTAATATCTACTCTGAACAGGTAGTACAAGCTTAAACGCAACAACTACTTTCAGTAAAACCTGTTTTATGATAAAATTAGTTTATGCCATCTCCCATATATTACATTTAAGAAAGAGCAAAGTACACAAGTTGCACAGAATAATTAGCATAATTAAAACTCAGGTTGAGTGTAATATACTGCTCAGTTCACAGAACAATAGCTTTAATGAGTCACACATTTAAAACATTTTTGAAAATAATACACAGCAGAATGTGACACAAAATTTGGCTTTAGAAATGGTATGGGAACAAAAGATGCTTTAACTTATTAAACTGTTTATTCATGGAGCATTTAGAGAAGAAGATAATGGACTCAGCATACAAGCCTAGGGTATGGTTCAGATACGTTGATGACACCTTTGTGATTTGGGGTCACGGAGCAGAAAAACTAAACGATTTCCTGGCTTATATAAATACACTACATCCAAATATTCAATTTAAGATGGAAACAGAAAAAGCTCAACAACTAGCGTTTCTGGATGTATTAGTAAATCGAAAGGAAGGTCACTTAGGACATAAAGTGTATCGAAAACCTACACACACAGACAGATACCTAAACAGGAACTCAAATCATCATCCTAGCCAAAAACAAGGTATCATCAAAACTTTGGCAGAGAGGGCGAAGAGAATTTGTGAACCACAACATCTCCAAAGTGAACTTCTTTATATTGAAAAAGCGCTCACCTCTAATGGGTACACCAGAAGAGAAATACACAAGGCGATGAACAACGTATCTAGAAGAAGGGACGAAGAAACAGAATGTAAAGGGAAAGCGTTCTTGCCCTATATATCGGGGGTAACGGACAGAATTGGGCGAATACTCAAGAAAGCCAACATAAAGACCATCTTCAGACTTACAAAGAAGATCAAGGATTGTTTAAGATCGGTAAAAGACAAACGCGACCCATTAGCAACGGCCGGAGTATACCGAATACCATGCACATGTGGAATGGTATATGTGGGAACCACAAAAAGACACACCAACACCAGGATAAATGAACATAAAAGCCATTGTCGTTTAGGACATATCGACAAATCTGCCGTTGCCGAACACGCTTTGGGAAGCGGAGAACATCGAATACTATTTGAAGAAACACAGATGCTGGACAAAACTTCACAGTACTACCCACGGTTATATCGGGAAGCGGTGGAAATATACAAGCACCCAAACAATTTCAATAGGATAGAAGAAGGACTAAAAATCAACAAAACATGGATACCAGTATTAAAATCCACAAACGCCCTTCCCGCCAAACACGGAGATAGAAAAGCTACCATAAACAACGACACGCCCCCTCAAGCCGAAACCAGTGGAGGGGAGGCGAGTGGGAATTATAAATATTGCCTCCGTAGTACAACGCGTCGTCAGTTTCTGCTTACAAGCGAAGCATCAACATCTCCAGAAGATGCCAACCCCTAGTGTTGGCGAAACGTCGAGAACTAATCTCAACAGAAGACAACGGCCCAACAGCCCGAATAAACAGTTTAATAAGTTAGACGATGGCCGTGAAAGCCTAACGCAATTTATCAAAAGATGCTTTGTTCGGCTTGAATGAGCTGGCCCAGAGATGCATGGATAATGGCTATGAATCAGGACATGTACATAATATGTTTTGTAGATTTTGAAAATGCATTTGATAAGGTTCAACATAAAAAGCTTGTAGATATATTAAAAAGCAAAAATATTGACAGTCGTGATATGAAAATTATAACTAATCTATATTGGAATCAAACTGCCAAGTTAAAAGTTGACAACCAGAACACCCGAGATATCAAAATAGAGAGAGGAGTCCGCCAGGGTTGCGTGCTGTCACCACTACTCTTCAATATCTACAGTGAAACGGTATTTAAAGGATCGTTGTCAGATTCAATAGAAGGTATTTCTATCAATGGAGAAGTTTTGAGTATCTTGCGTTTTGCAGACGATACAGTAATAATGACGGATAATAACAATGATTTACAGAACGTAAGGCAACAACTTAATAGATGGTGTCATGAATACGGACTAAGAATGAATTTGAAAGAAACTAAATGCATGATCATGATTAAATCCAATTGATTGTTTTGACTTTGAGGATACTGTAATTGAGAGTGTGAATACCTAAAAATGCTTGGGAACATGGATAACATAAAATGTAGACCAAATCAAAGAAATTAAAACACATTGGAATAGCATGTATAGCATTCGTTAAACTTAAAAACTTTCTTTGTTGTCGGAATATAAGGTTAGAACTACCATAAGAATGCTTCGGTGTTATGTATGGCTATTTGCCTACAAGATCAAGGCCAAGTAAGTCAAATGTCAAATTGGCTGCCTCGGAAGCGCCAATTGATAAACATTACAGATTAACATAATTTATTACTTCATAATTTTTTGAAAACGATTTCGACATTGGAAATCAAAACAACAAAAACAAATGTAAAATGTAACTTTCATTACAATCGATTGTGGTAATCCCATATAAATATAATATTTAACCATTTCAGATGGTCAAAAAAATCTAATTAGTGTTAATAAAGTTCAGGAGTGGTGTAATGACAAGAAGTGTCATTTTATTAGATTTTCTAGAAGAATTAACAACCTCTCTTATAATTCGAACTTAGTTGATGAACCGTTTAGAGCAGTATAAGATACAAGAGCGGTCCGACAAGTACTTAGCCAACGAAAATTTTGGGAAAAGTGGCAATATATTTCTTAACAAAGTCTACTTTAGCTCGATACGCTTGACCCCGCGTGGTCCAACTTCTTTAACCCGTATGAGAAATACGTTTTCTAGACGCGATTTTTCGATTTAAATTTCTGCACGACGGATGCCCTTTTCAACTTTGGAAACAAAAAGAAATCACACGGGACCAAATCTAGAGAATATGGTGGATGAGGATACAGTTCGTAGCCCAATTCGACCAATTTCGGCATGGCGACGGCGGAAGTATAGCGGGTCCGTTGTGATGGTGGAAGACACATTTTTCTTCGCTAAATGGGGTCGTCTTTTCTGCAATTCAGTGTCGAATCGGCCCAATAATTCAGCGTAGTAGAGCCCTGTGACCGTTTTGCTAATCTCCAGGTAGTCGACGTAGATCACCCGGATGTGAATCCCAGAAAATGGTGGCCATGACCTTTTCGGCCTATAGGACAGTCTTCGCCTCTTTTCGAAGCACGTTCGCTGGTTGCCGCCACTGTTACTTGTTTCTTGACTGTTTCTTGGTCCCTAATGTGTAGCAATGGATTCATGTTTCGTCAATGGTTATAAAACATCGAGCAATAAGACAAAAGAGGGAATCTAATCGTTATGAAAAGGAGACCAAAAAAGTGGCCTCTGATGGCGGACATATCCGGAAATGCAAATGCGCCAAATTTAAATTTCATGACACTTGACAATAATCATACAGTGGTGTAGGGGTTCTAATTTATCTATTTATTTATTTTATATTACATAATATTTTATATTATATATTTATCTATTTATTTATTAAAATACTTTTTTTAACACTAGAACACAATAAAGTTTTAATTAATTAATAACGATAATAGTCTAAAATGTTAAAAAACTTTAATAGACAATATAAATAAGCTTTCATGTGACAGTTTTGACAAACAATAACATCAACAATAACATAACCCAACTAAATTTGATTTCTTAAACAAGGAAAGAGATTCTCTGTCCTTGTTTAAAGTGGCCTCTCAAAATAGCACTTCCTGTCTATCAATATGTTTACCCCCACTACCTTTACATTCCCTCTATTGTCTTATTGCTCGATGTTATAAAACGACGTAGAAACTCCTTTGAATAACGCCTGAATAGTGTCAAACACTGCTCTGAAGTGGTCTCACGGTTAAGCTCGTCCGGAGTGAGCAAACACGGCAATTCCAAAAATTTCACGAAGGATATGACATACTCGGTCTTTTGTGATGGCTACTGTCTCAGCTATCACGCGTACCTTCAATGGGCGGTCTGCTACTATGAGATCGTATTTTTGTTGTCACGTCATCCTTCATGGTAGCCGATTTCGAGGCACTTGGACGTGGCTCATCAAAAACCGACGTGCGACCACGTTTAAACTCGTTAAACCAATTTTTGAGGGAATTGTATAAACTAATTTTGAATATGTTAACAACCAGGCATTTAAAATGTCAGGTTTCAGTATCCTACTTATGTTTTATGTATAATTGGGTGGTACCGTAAATAAATTAGATTAGTAAGATTTTACGTGTTCTCTATTCTTTTATATGGTGCCGAAGGTTTGACTTTTAACGGATACACTTCTAAGAAAACCTAAAGCCTTTGAAATCTGGGTGTATCGGGGAATTCTGCGAATAAGTTGAGTAGATAGAGTTCGTAACGAAGTTTTTTTGCAGCGGATGAGAAAAGTTAGTTAAAAGTGGTCAGAACGGTTAAAAATTGCAATTGGAATATTTTGGCCATGTTATACGTCCCCGGAGAAATATACTTTATTTAATAATGCAAGGCAAGATAGACGGAAGAAGAATGCCAGGTCGAAGAAAAACGGCATGGCTTAGAAACCTGAGAGAATGGTTTAACAGATCCCCTGCATCCCATTTTAAAGCTGCCGTCAACAAAATTAGTATAGTTAATTTGATAGCCAACGCACGATAATCAAGCAGAGCACAGGAAGAAGAAGAAATAATTAAATAAATAAACGCTTATTAAAAATATAACTTTTTGAGTCGTAAGTCATTGAAATATGTCAAGAAAGACTTTGAGAGTGATGTAAATCGTGGTCGCCTTTCTATGAAAACAGTTGATGGTGTAATCCATATAAATTCAAGCAGGCAAAGATAAAATCTTATCTTCATATTCTCAGATATTATTGAATTAACAAATGGTAAAATGAACAGCCACATACTTTTTTATTTAAAAACATTTTTTTCGCATTATTTTAAGTAAAATGCCAAAAACTAAAAATTGTCAAAAAAATACAAACACTTCATCAGGCTTTGTGACTACACAACAACAACAAAAAATTAGTTGACTTACCCTACTAACTGTCAACAAAGGCCAGTTGGATTCTGCTTGTTGAATTGGAGGAGGTGGCTTCAAAAATTTGGCATTTGGATCTACATCTGGAAAACCTTTCTTTTCCCCAATTTGTTCCTTCAGCTGTTCAGCTTCATCTAGCATTCCGTGAGTAGCAGCTGTCAAGTAGGCTAAAGAAAGTTGATTGGAAGCCTTCAAAATTTTAACACGCTCTTCAAGATCGCCTAAAGAAGAAATTGAATCAAAATTTGTCGTCTAAATAAAGTCCAGTTAAAAATGTTGTTAGAGGGTTGTTCATCACTTACCAAGCAAAAGTGCAGCATGATATTGAGATGATTTAGCTTTTCTAATTTCTGCAATTTTCATCATTTTTCTTAACTTATCCAGATTGCCGGTAATCAGATATAGGAAAGATAATTTTTCGAAACTCTTGGTTCTTTGATAACACATTTCAACTACTTGATGGTTTCCTTGCCATAGTGCAGCATGTGCAAGCTGATCCCAACAAGCTTTGTCATTCAGAGATTTCGCAGCTTCCAGAGCAATCTCAATATTTCCACATTCCAGAGCTAAAGTAAATCGAGTTTTGTCGTCTTTTACAAAATGTAGGGCTACCTCAGGATAACCTAAAAATAATTTGTTATTAATAATAGAGAAGTTGGCATATTTTGAACACAAGAATATGGGTCACATTCTCCTGATGGGTCGTGGAATAACGAGTCAGATTGATCACATTTTAATACAATCAAGATATGGAACATACGTAATGAACTGCATAAGTTATAGAGGCACAAAACTAAACTCACATCATTGCCTAGTGATCTCAACGCTGAGGTCTAGATTTCAAATGTCAGCAAAGAAAATAAAATGGATAGAATTAAATGGAATGTAAAAAACTGAGAAATGTAACAATTGCAGAACGGTATTCGAAAAATATCACCAACAGGCTAAGGAATCAAAATGTAAACGAAGAAGGCCAGAAAGATATAGACTTCTACTGGACCAGAATAATATTATAATAAATATAATAAAGAAAGATATTGATATCATTGGCTTGACGTTGCAAGAATGCAACAAAAGAGAAAAATGCTTACCCGACGAACTAGAACAGCTGTAGAGAATTACCAGTCAACGAGAACAAAATTTGCCTACAGAAAAGAAAAAAACGAAACAACTTAAATAATGGAACTTAAATATATAGGAAACCTTAATAGAGAGAAAGAATTCAAAGCATTCTATAGCAAAATTAACATCAACACAAAATAATTTTACAAAGAGGATACACAAAAGAAAAAAACGGGACCACTTCACTGCGCAACTTAAATATATAGAAAACACATAAAGTACATATAAATTTAGAAGAATTTGGGAGTTTCAAATTATTTTTGGTGGATCTCAGACGCTAAAGAACTCCTTTTACTCGACCTACCACCTACAAAGATTAGTCACACCGTTTATCTTAATATGAGATTTTCTATTAATATTACCTTAATCATTTAATTTACCTTTTTGTTGTAAATATGAAATCATGGATTGCCCAACCAATTTAGAATTTCGAACCATATACAAAACTTCTTCATATTTGTGATTAATTAATGCAAGTTTGAACTTGTATTCCATTGAATCCACTGTCAATACTCGTGGTTTGCATTCACGATCAAGGCAAAAGATCTGGTTTCCTCTTACTCTGGTGATGTATATTGGAAGATCGAGGGTTCTAATAATTCCCTGATCACTAGAAAATAATAAGTAAATAAAAATAATAATAATAATAACAGTTATTAGGTAAAATAATATATAATAATTTTTATAAGAAAATAAAATATATTGTTATATACTACATATTATAGGAAAATAAAAAAAGAGCCTCAAATATATTCGCAGCAGAAAAATATAATCAGTAACGATATATTTATGTTAATGAGCTCTTAAATTAGGAACGGTATCAAACAACCTAATAACTGGTATTAACTGTTACAGAAGAGCAGCTGTGAACTGAGTAGTGACTCTTCAGCATTCCACACTTTTGAACAAAAGATTTTTCGTTAATTTCAATGAAATAATAGCAAAGGGAGCACACAGAAGAATAGTCTCACTCAAGACAATGTATTGGTACCAACACTGAACATTTGTACCAGTACATACATTGGTACCAGTAGATACTAGAACTTTCATATATGCAGCTATTGTAATGCAAGCAGAAACTTTTGCCGAGGTGAAAACATCGTCAAATAATGACAACTTACTACGAATCTATTTAAGTTTGGTCAAATCCCGGAAAAATTCAAGTGTACTCCTTCCACCTTCGTAATAAACAAGCATCCAAAAAAAACACATGGACTATATTAATCACAATAAACAAAAAAAAACAAAAATTCTGTAAAACTCGTAAAAATATATCTGGAACGGATGATCGTTGCGAACATAAACTTTGGTTAATGCTTTTTAAGCCATAAATGAAAAATTTTGTAAGGCAAAAGCTCAAAAACGACCTATCATCACATAATTACTTTTACAAATAAAACCATAAACAGTATAAACTATTCTTTTAGATTTTATATTTCGAACTCACGAATCGAACCCACATCATTATGCACCATAGGCGGATACATTCATCGATGACTAGACTAAAATTTTTAAATTTTTTAATTTGGTATTTCTATGTTAACTTAGATAAACAAAAAAAAAAGACTGATCCACTTAAGAAATAGGATCTAGAAAGCATTTGCGGTTTAAACCCACGTTGGGGTGTATAGCCATTATATATATATATATATATATATATATATATATATATATATATATATATATATATATTTCTATGTTAACTTAGTGAGAATCTTTATAATGCAATATATAACACGATGGATTCCCACAGACTAGTTCAAGTCTATATTGTAATACCTAAAAGACACAATGCTAGTAATGTTGTGTCAATCGTTCATTTTACAAGGACCGAATCAATCAGTGAACGACTCTGAAAACGATCAAATCATTTCAATCGTTCGTTCATTCGAAATCGATAAAGAATACTAAAACAAATTCTTAGAGACAAAATAGCAGGTCAGAAAGGGGTAGGAGGAAAACAGATTGCTTGGTTATGAAACATTCGTGAATATACTCAAATATCAAATGCAAGACATTTATTCCACGTGGCAGAAGATCGAGAAGCCTTCGCAATAGTGATCTGATCCAAGCCACCGTTGAACAATTCTGATACGCACGTGAAGAGAAACTAAACAATACAGTTAGGTAATCCTACAGTATTGTAAATTTTAACTACGCATAGTTTTATTGACATAAAGACCATTATCTGTCAAACATGTCGAGAATATTCATATATCAACTCACTCGCTACGCTACTGATCCCTATCCTCACGGCGTTCTATGACCTACGACGCACTAATGTAGAAGCTGATGGAATATACGCAATCAAAAATCGAGTCGCAGGTGCGGCATGAGAAATTTCCTTCGAAATCTGTGAGCCAAGAGGAAGAATATATAAATGTTAAATTAAATGGTAGAGTTAGTCTAAGATATAAATTTATGGTGTCAAGTAATAAAAATATTATAAATTAATTAATTATGTTTTTAGTGTTAGTGTTAAATAAAATAACTGTAAATAAAAACTAAAATAAATTAAAATAAAAACAGTGCAATATTACTAAAACCACAGACATTGAACTAATTAACCCAGACATCTATATCAATTCGCTGTAGTGTAATATTCTAGATAACTGTCGGTGTTGTCAAAACCATAAACAGATACTGTTAGACAAGGATAAGCAATGTATATCTGTATCGATGCATAATCATACCATAAATGACAAAATAACTCACCCGTTTTTAAGTGTATATTTCAAGTGGTTGCTTGTAGTATAAATAAAAACTCCTGTATCATCCCAAGCTCCAGATTTTACTCTAGTATTTTCATGTAAACAACATAAAACATCCAATTTCCTATTACAAATAGTCACGTTGTGTTTGGAAAGCAGAGCCAAATGGGACATATCAGACGACCAGACAACATATCTGCATTTGTTAATTTTCACTAAAATCATAACAAAATTAAAATTATAGAAAAGACAGTTAAGGTTTGATTTCACATATAGTGCCTCTACAATTCGCTTATATGTATTTCGGTCCTAGCAGGATTCATCAGAGTGACTGCGTAGAAGCGCTGAACGTGAAATCAAATCTTTTCCGTCAAAGGAAGTAAATAACTTCATATAAACGCATACGGCGCTATCTGATGATAAAACAAAAAGTAAAAATACGAAGATTTCTAGGTGTTTGAAAATAAAATTCAGATTTTTGCCTAAATCTGCACCTTCTACAATTTTCAAAGCACAGACGACGAATGGACTGATATAGGGAATCTAAAATTGCATTCCAGGACATATCGATTCATCTAGACAAGAACCTTTCTTATACTAAAAATACGAGTAAATAAAGATAGAGAAAAGACAGTACTTATATGAGTAGATAACAGTACATTATTCAGAACGCGCATTTTGTACTTCGCGCCAAATATTTTTATTTTGCAGTCCCAGCACGGACGGCGTTCGAAACTTTATCTTTACTTGTCAATATGGGAGTTTCCTTGCTGTGTGGTGGTATGCTGTGATATCATCGTTTTACTGAATACATTCGATTTAGGCATTTGAGAGCGGGTGCTATTAAAAATGAAAAAAATTAAATATGATGCAGTAAGAAAATGTTTCGTAAAAATGAAGAAAACATGGATGGCAGAGTAAAAACAGAGTTGCAAATTCTCCAAAATCTGCAACCACACCGTAAATCATTGACAAAGTGCGTGGTTATACCATATTAAATATACCATAACTTGAAAATACTACTTTCTTCTTCTAAGTCTTGAAACTTCGAATGACACGTATTCGTGAAAACAGATATGGCTCAAAGAAGAAAAATATTTTTCAATCAGGACAATGCACATGCCCACAAAAGTGGGCAATGGTAAATGGGCAATCTACACCATGAAGTGATGGAACATTCATTCTATTCTCCAGACATGACTCCCTCGAACTTCAATATGTTCTAAAACTTGCATGTATTCCTCACGGGTTAGCGTTTTTGGTAAAATTGCAGCTATAGATCAGTCAATGGCAGCACTTCCGGAGAAACACTACAGAGGATATAACGGTATTGGAACACCGCCAGATGAAATTTATTTCTATTAAATGAGATTATGTCGAAGAATAAAATGTTTTTGAAAGCATTAATTATCGTTTGTAGTATCAGTCCAGAACGTTTTAGACTATCAAAATATATAATAATAAGAGAAATAATACATCATCATCTTTGGCTCGACAATCCTCTGTGGATCTTGGCCTGCTCTAAGATTCGTCGCCATTCTGTTCGGTTTCTGGCAGAGAAATAATTACTTATATAAAATTAATTTATTGTTTTTTACCTTGTGCTAAAGTTCTCTTTTGTTGAACGTCAAACAGAGTAACATGTTCAGAATCTCTTAATAACAGCATTCCAGTACCAGCGTAAAATACCTCATCACATGTAGGAGTTTGTACCTTTTTGGTGACTTCGTTTTTCAAGTTCTTGATAATTAATTGATGAGTCCTGTCCAAAACTGCAAATCTATTTCTTGCGACCCATAATGCCGTAAGTCCAGAAGACCTTTTACTTTCAGCTTCTAATAAAAAAAATAGATCTGCAATATTTAAAAACTACTAACTACTGACTACTATCAAAAAAGCTTTTCACATGCAGGAATTTGGATATTATGTGATTTAGATAAGAGGAGAATCAGGGTAATTTTTGCTAGCTATTAATATTTTTTCAAACTATGTTTGTTTTTGTTTTTAACCTTTTTCTATATACAATAGGAAAAAGTTTCTATTCTTGTTAATAAGATTTTAATGATAAATTAACTACAAAATGAAATTGAAAACCATAAATGCTTTCATTGAGAACCATGCTTTATTAAAATACATTTTTCCTATCACTAATTTCTTTTCTAAATACGACCATAAAATAACCTGCCTGCACATGCTCAAAAACTATTATTGTATGGACTGAAGATTATAATTACCAAAATCATACTTTTAGTTAATGATTACTATTAGTAATTATTTAAATTATTAAATTTATTTTTGGTATAACTGAAATATCCAATCTTTTAAATTTAAACTAGAATTTAGCAGAAAGTTTTTTTCTAATTTTAGTATTATTGTTCTGAAGTTATTTTCTTGTGGCATTTTAAATTAATTACTATTTAACTGGGAACAAGCCACAATTAAATGTTAAAATACGTTTATTGACGTTTCAATTTCCACTTCGGAAATCGTTCTCAAAACACAAACAATAAATTAAACAATCAAATCAATATCAAAATATTGAAATGGTTCGGTCTCTATAAACTTTGAATTGCAGCGTTGGCGGCAAAAAGAGCGAAAATGTTGCATAACATCGTCACAACTAAATTTCCGGACAGTTCAAGAAATTACTACTTAAATATGGGGTTACATTGCCATGCGGCTTGACAACCGCGGCAATTCTGTCTGGCATTGATCGTGCTAAGGATTTACTTAAGTCAATGTCGAAACTATCCCATAATTCACCTAATTTACTCTTCAAATCGGCAACGATTCTCTTGTCTAGGGTCGGGACTGTTCGAAGGCCACACACCCACAAATCACAGTTCTTTTGAGGTAATCTTTACGGAATGCTCTATTTTTACCTCTGATAACCAAGTCTCCCAAGCAAAACATCAAATTTCGATTCCTCACTGAATATGACTCTGGACTAGTCATTAAAGGTCCATGAAATCTTCGATCTTGCCCAATTGAAGCGGTTGCTTAAAGTCTTCATGGACTGTTGATGACTGATTCAGAGAGATGTTCAGTGACAAATCAAAATTTGATGTTTGTGTGGGAGACTTTCGAAAACGGGTTATGACTAACTGAAAACCATGTATCACAGAAAATTTATTTAAAAATTCCTTTATAAAAGGTAGGTATATACTTAAAACACTCATGGGGTTACATCACAAAATGTCTTGAGTCAGTAAAAAGCCTTTAAAAGACAATTTTAAAGGGTTTTTACCCAAGTATTTAGTAGTTCAAAACATGTACATCCAGGTAACACTGATGATGGAATATTAATTCCGAAAACGTTCTGTGATGTAGCCCGATAGGGTGTTTTAATATATACCTTTTATAAAGAAATTTTTAAATAAATAACAGTTTGTTTTACAAAATTGTTCATTTATTTATATACCGGGTTTTGAATATCGTGCGAAATAACGAAAATGATACACTGCTCACTGCATTTTTGGAGAGAGCAACACACACATTTGGGTTAACGACAAGACCAAAGCTACCATCTGCGATTAATTCTTGACTTGGCACAATTTAACCTCCGACCCTATTTACGACCCAAAAATCAACTAATATTAATATAATTTGTTGTATTATAACAATATATGTACATGTATTTGTATTTTATACATATTTTTATTTTAAAGATAGATTGTAGTTGGTGATTTAACTACCGTCGAATGATGAAGATAAGTTGAGTTGAAAGAGTCACAAACTTGGAAGTAATACGAAGGATAGTGTTACGATAATTATGGCGTTTATAACTATAAATATATTATGACTAATTCTGTTTTCTGTTCCAGTAAATTCGAAGTTGTTTACAGAAATATCTAGCCCCCAATTTTGGTGAGTCATCCACGACTCGAAGTTGAAAAAAAAAACTAGTCTCAGCGGTTAATTGCCTTCACCGAAAAAAAACAGTATATTCCATGGGGTTCCGTGCAAAAGAAGGTCACCGAAGTAAATTCGAAGTTGTTTACAGAAATATCTAGCCCCCAATTTTGGTGAGTCATCCACGACTCGAAGTTGAAAAAAAAAACTAGTCTCAGCGGTTAATTGCCTTCACCGAAAAAACCAGTATATTCCATAGGGTTCCGTGCAAAAGAAGGTCACCGAACTTTCCATATAACGGAAGGTTTTGTATAAAAACGAAACATTTTTTATTTGGAGGTCAGTGAAGTAAGAAGATTCGCGCCGAGTATTTAAATTGTATCGAACGTAACATAAATTTGTAAAGTTAATTAATAAATTAGTAATTAGTTATCGTGAGTTTAAATAAATTAGAATATAGACAATAAATTAGATTTAAAGACAATAAATTAGAACAATATAAATATACAACAATAGGAAAAGGCCCAGAAATTTTGTCAACGTTCACACGAAGAAAACTCGATTATTTGGGTCACCTGATAAGAGGACATAAATATGCATTACTTCAAAATATAATGCAAGGAAAAATAGAAGGAAAACGGAATCCAGGCCGTAGAAGAATGTCATGGTTGCGTAATTTGAGAGAGTTGTTTTTCTGTACCACTAATGAACTCTTTAGGTCAGCTGTAAACAAGGTCAGGATAGCCTTGATGATTTCCAATCTCCGATATGAGTGGCACAAGAAGAAGAAGAAGGTGATTAACTAAGTTTGTATTTTTTTATTTTCAGAAAAAAAAATACAATCCAGACGATGAAGAAGTTACAGAAAATTTATTGGAATTTCAAAAGAAAACAATTTCAAAGAAGGAATCTGTAAAACAGTGTAAGAGATTATAAACCTCAAGATTTTGACTAAAGTAAGAAAGAACCAGTAATTCAATTTAAGAATAAAAGTGGTTAGTTCCAAAGAGCATGTCCAGATCAAGTTAAAAGTTCATTTAGTCTACATTCATTATGGGTTCCCTAAAATTTCCAGAAGTTCGATTATATTAGCATAGAACTTTACATCTTAATATCTTAATGAGACACAGGTCTTCAAACAAAATCATGAGACAGATTTTTTCAACTTAAGAGTAGATCAATTTTTCATTGCGACGATATTTTGCTTATTCCCAATAACTGTACAGATAAAACATTAAAGTAGAAGAAAACCTATAATGAACATACATTACTATTTACACTTGTGTGTGATTGGTACCATTTAGAGGATATTTTTTAGTGATTCAATACTCAAAAGAGTAAACATACACCATGAGGAGTAAATGGCAATTTTGAATTTTGCGGAATTCTATTTTATTTTATATCAAAGCACTTATACTAACTTTAGTGATCAGAACCTAAAACAGTTTTGATTTGGTACTGCAATAGTTCTTTATTTTTCGAAAATAATAAAAATACATTGGCCGAACTTGACAGAAAAAAAAAAGCGAAAAGGTGTAAAAATGCAAAACTGCAATAAAAAGACTCACTTTTTTTGTGAAAAATACGAACATATGGTTAGTTTTTTTTTCAGAAAAAAATTATAACCTGTGAAGAAATAATGAAGATTTATTAACAGTGCTTAAAAGAGGGAGAAAAAAAGGAAAGAAGTAAATACAAAAGAGACATTAAAATCAATAATGAAAAATTTTAATTTACCTGGTACTTGATCATCTCTCTCCTGTTCTTTTGGAATCACATATAAATCGTATGTACTATTATCCAAGTTTGAAGTTCTTGTGGAAAGAAGAACAGCATTTTCAGCTGGATTAAAGGACATCTTATAAACTGGTATTTTTCCTCCACCACGAATCTGAATGACTGGAACATCTTTAGATGTGGTAAAATCAAGTTTTCGTAAGAAACGTTCCTTAACATAGTACAGGAGGTTGCCATGTACTGTGTAAGCTGGACGTTCACGCTCAAGTTTGAATATAACCTAAAACATCATTAACGTAAAACATAAATATATCTGGAGCTTAGTAGAAAAATTGCCAATGTCCAAAAATTGCTCATAGTTAAAAAGTGCTAAAATCGATCCGCCCTGGAGCTTTGCCACTGAAGGTGCATCAATTGCGGACATTGGTCGGCTCTAATCTTGTGTATGTTAATACATTGCACTTAAACTCAACTAAAATCAAGAATTATATTAACAGTTTTCCATTTTATTCCAGTAACTAATCTTACGGACGAACCTCAAAATTTTTTTATTGCGGACATTTTTTAAAAATAATATAAGATACTGGAATAAATATCGGTACAGAAAAATTTATAACAAAGAATTTAACTTGAAAATTTAAAAAGAAATTATAAAATCTTTCTTTTTGTGATTGTTATATATTTAAATCAAAATTATCCAAAAGAATTAAAAGAATTAGTTAAAACATCAAACGTTTTCAGTATTATCAGACTCATCAATGAGTCTTAATACACAGTTTGTCCCATTTAGATTGCAAACACCTCTATAAAATTTGAGGTTAGTGACCGATTTTAACATTTTTTTTTTTTTAATTGTCATGTAATAAAAGGTTTACTTTTATATTCAGGAGACATAATTTAAAATGTTTATTGAAATTTTTAAAGTCATACTTGTGACGATAATATAATCTTATCGTCTAGGGTACTTTCTTTGTATTCAACAGAACATGTTTTATACAATCACTGTATAAAAATATGGTCGTATAAAGGACAGCATAAATCCATTAGTGGTCATTCTCGGTGTGTTGAACGGAAAATAACTACCTATCTACCGCAGCACGTAAGCTGAACATGTTCCAGGACCTGTTGATTCCAGAATCTGTTTTCCGAGGCAACACAGCTGTTGCCTCGGAAAACACTGACTGTGTGTGGGATGAATGCAGCAGATTGACACGATACCTATCATGAGAATCGTGCAACATTGGGCTTAGTTATGTCAAATACAGAAAATTTTTCGTGACCATTTGGTGAGGAAGATCTGCAGTTGTCAGATTTCTCATAATTTGGCTGCTGTCCAAAACAAGACACATAGGGTCATACCCGCGCCACACTCGAACAATTCAACAGAGCAGCTCAAATTTGGTATAGAACATTATGAACAAAAGTATTCCACGCTCACAGCGTTGGCACATAAAGAATAGCGTGTGTGCCACGATTTCGTTAGAAAATGTTGGAACCGCCATTGCTGAATAGTGTACAACCATTTGTTTGCCAGAATTGATTAATGAACTCCGCCAAACAACTAAAATGGTCGTATCCTCTTGAACAAGACAATACCAGCACTCACACAGCTCATATAACATCTGAGCAGTTTAAGGCAAAAAACATCTATTTAGTGAGTCCTTCTGCATACAGTCCTGACTAGTCACCATGTGATTTTTTTGTCTTCCTCAGATTTAAAAACAAACTACGCTATAAACATCTTAAAAATGCCAAATGAGACAGTCTAATCATACAAAAATTTCATTTCTGATATTATCATAAATGTCATAAATGCTTCGCCAATTAGTTTGTTTGAATGTAAAAACATATTGATGTTAAAAGCGAATCCTTTTGCGTTATAAATGCTCCGCTGATTCGTTTGCGTTCAAATGCAAAAGCATATTGATCTTAAAGGCGATAAATAATAAAGCTGATTTTTCAGATTTTTTTTATTGTTACATTGCATGTTTACATGTTTAGGTACCATCCAGTGACGGTTGTCTAAGTATTATTGTGGTAGGTCTTCTGGTCATACCCTCTTCAATCTCCTTTCAGCGAGTGGTTGGTTGAATACATTATTTATCAATTTGTTGTTGTGATCAGTGGTGCGATTGTTATATTTTATTGAGTGATTCTTTATTATGTCCTTAAGTAATGGGATGTCTAGATCATTGTAAAGTGTTTGGTTAGATACATACCATGGAACTGTACTTATTATACTGAGTATCTTTGTATTTGAAGGTTTACTACAGCCAGTTGTTAAATAGCTAGTTCATATTTTTTAGTTTAAGATCTAGTTGTTTCCGTTTAGTTTTAATGTGCGTTATTATACACTTGTGGACATGTGGATTTTCTTGTTGTAAAAGTAATTTGTACTGATTTGCTAGCATTAATACTAATCTTCCATCGCTTAAGCCAATTTTGTAAATGATCTAAATGATTTTGTACTTTTTGTGATTGTTAAATTAGGGTTGATATCCACTGCCAAGATTCCCATGTCATCGGCAAAAATAGCTAAGCAGGTATCATTGCTGGTTGGGATGTCTGCTATAAATATCAGATGCAAAAATTGGCCCAAAACGCTACCGTGAGGTACGCCAGATTATATGATGTGGTAATTTGATTAGCTGTCTTCAATTTTGACTTGACAGTAATGGTCATTAAGATACGATTTTAGTATAAAGTATAGTTGGTCTGTTAGTGTAATTTTAGTTTGTAGAGAATACCTTTATGTCATACGCTATCAAATGCCAACAACTTGCTCGATTTTATGTAATATAGCCTTTCTAATACCTTTAACATTATTGGGAGTAGGCTTATAGGGCGATATGAATTTGCTTGTGTTGCAGGCTTACCAGATTTCGGAATCATAGTAACTTGAGCAAATTTCCTTTATATTGGAAAGTATCATAGATGTAGTATGCTGTTGTATATTATTGTTAATAACACCACTGCTTTTCTTGGTAACTTCTGAAGTAATTCTCCTGTTATTAAATCATAGCCAGGAGCTTTCTTAGGATTGAGCATTTTTATTTCTTGTCGAACCTCTGTCAGAGTAAATGTTGTGAGAGGAAGAGATAGTTGAAAAGGAGTTTCGAGGTACATTCTTATATTATTATCTTCATCGTTATTAGTATCTGGTGCTGCGAATACAGTTGTAAAATGCTCTGCGAATATTGGTATTTTTCTGTGTTTATGTTCTACATATATTATGGCGCAAGACTTTTAGTGTACACTTTGTATTACAAATTGCGTAAGTCTAACTACTTAAAGAGACTTAATATAAATGTCATCAAAAAATATATGTAAAAGATATAGACGAAACAAATATAGTATAAAAAATATCTAAAGAGAAAGTAATGTAACAAAATAATTTAAATATATACATAACTAAGACTAAAAAATGCATTAATTAAATAATTTATCATTTGAATAAAAATAAAATAAAAGTATGAGTAGTTAAAGGGCACAGTAAATAAAAGATATAGTAGAGAAGCCAATCATGCTATATTAGGATAGCCAATCAAGTTATTACAAAAACAACAAAACAGTATATAAAGCATTAATAAGTTATGTGCAATATCAGAGAAATGGTGTCAAAGAAAACATAAAAGTACTAGAGAAAGACTTTCACACAAATATATAAAACAAAAAAGTAATGTATAGAATACAAAGATCAACACTATAATAATTAAAAAATTATAAACTTTTATCAAAAAGTCATATAAGGCGCAGTGAGAGATTGTGGACAACAAAACTATCCAAATAATCAAATGCAGAAAAACTATCAGCTGAAATTATATAAAAATAAAAAATAATAAAAACAATAACCAGCTCAATAGGAAATGAGAAGTATATATATTAATGAATGTAGGAGACATAATCCACTTCCTGAAATGGAGTAAGTTATTTCCTCATATGCAGTGGGATCTAACTACTTTAATGTCATTGATTCTAGTTGAATGTTAAAAAGTGAAAACTAAGAACTTTTATAAAAGATACTACATTACATAAAACTGAATTTACCATTCCACCATCATGTCCAGCAGCAAACAAGTTGAGATTTGGATGTGATGCCATTATCCAAAATCTTTCATTTTCCCTTTTAAATGTGTGTAGACAAGTTCTTTTAGTAGTATCCCAAACTCTAATAGTTTTATCTTCACTGTTTGAGAGAATCAGTTCCTGAAAATTTATGTAAATATTAAAGACAGGTACAAAAATATAATCTTATGTAACAATAAAACACTGAAAACTTTGTTTTCAAACTTCCACAAAATTTATTTTAACTCTTATCACTACAGCTGTTTCGGCTGATTGCCTTTCTCAAGTGATCTATTTTTGGCTTGCGTTTATACTTTATAGTCTCTAATCAAATGGGTTGAGGAGGGGAGAACTGTTTGTCTCAAGTTGGTCATTCAGAATTATATCTGTGTTTTTTAATTCGTTGATTTCCATAGATTCTAACAAAGATAGCTTAAGGCCTTTATTTTGAATGTGAAGAATTTTAAATTTGTCATTAAAATAATGATTATGATCTAGAAGGTGAAGTGCGTATGTAGAATCTGTTTTTCTATTATTGAAAGCCCTTTTACGTTCTGCTATTCATTTATTAAAGTTTCTACCAATTTGACCGATGTAAGTTTTTGAGCAGTCGCCACATTTAAGTTTGTACACACCCGTGGCAATAAATATCAATGAGCTGCTTTGGTGGATTAAAAAGTAAATTAACTATTTAAAGCAAATTTATTTATTTATTTATTTATTTATTTACTCCATCAAAGTACAAATGTCACTAATAAAAATGCTAAATGTACAATTACAGACCCTGAGCGAAGGCTATGTGGATCAAATTAGAAAAAAATATATAATACAAACACTAATATTATTACTTTAGCACATTAAAAATTTTGAGAAAGAAGAAAGAAAGAAGAGTGAAGAGTTTCGATTGTGCAAACAATTTGTACAGTGGACTCCCTCTATAAAGAGAACTGAAATAGCAGATTAATTACCTCGTTATAAGCTGATCTCCTTATATCAGACAACAATAATACTGTGCATACATATGAATATGTAGTTTTCTAAAATATTAACTTCCTATGGTGAAGCCATTCGGAGCAATATAAAATGCTAATAAATATTGTTTGAATGGTGTTTTTGAAAAAAAAAGTTGTTTACGTTTATTGTCAATGAAATACATTAAAACAAAAAATAGTTATTTACTATTATTGTCAATGATACACGTTAAAACAAAAAATCTGTAATTAAACTTACTTTTTTTCCAACTACATAATGTATTACGCATATTTTCAAGGATAACATAAATTATTGCTTCTACAATTGGAAGAAGTCTGTCATTTTTGACTGCTTTAAAATTGTCCAATAATATTTCATCTATTATATTTTCTAAAAATGTGAAACAGTTTGTATGTAAAGTTTATTGCAGGCGGCAGTTAAGTTAATTGCAGGCAGATAAAAAGGGTATTTATTTATAACTATGGCCAGCCCAATAACGTAAAAAACACGTTTTTGATCTTATTTTATCTTGTTATAACCAAATTTGCCTCGCTATAAAGGATTATTGTTCAACAGAAATTTCACGGGACATCTAATGTACCTCGCTATAAGCGAAACTACGTTATAACTGTTTTTGTTATAGAGGGAGTATACTGTATATGGTATACAGATAACTCCTTTTTTATGTAAAAATAGACAAGATAGATATTTTGTATACAAAATGCTGTATTTAAAAGCCATTGTATATGTGCCATTGAACAGGACAAAATACAATTTCTGTAAAATACTGTTCTTACTAATTTTAAATTTTTGACTCAAAAACCATATGAGAAACTTACTTGTCTAGGATGGAATAAAACACAAGAAACATTATGCCAGTGGCCTCTACATGTATCAACCTCCCATGCTTTAGAATCATTCATTCTCCATAATTTTACTTGTCTATCATCAGCACCTGAGGCAATAAGAGGCAGAGTTGGATGGAAAGATGCCCAGTTGACACCTCTATCATGACCCTCCAACACATGTTTTACAACTGCATCTGCTTGACCAAAAAGATCAGTTGCTCCTGGATTCTTTAAGTGTTCTTCTAGTCCTGCTGGACCTGGAGCTACATTTTTCTTTCTTAAGCCTGCAACAAATTTTGTTATATTTTTACCTTACTTATTTATTTGTGACTAGTTAACATAAAAATTGATACCAAATTAATAAATTATGAATTTATTATTATTTAAATTACTAAATGCCATTCATATGGATGAGTTAAGCTAGTTAAGAATATATTATTAGATTATTAAAATAAGAAATGCTTTACATACCTGAAATGTCCCAAACTCTAACAGTGGAATCCAAGGAAGCTGACACCAGCAAATCTTCAGAAGGATGAAAACTTACACACATAACATAGTGATTATGTCCAGTTAGAACACAAATGCAAGTTCTGCTCTGCCAATTCCAGATCCTAATAGTTTGATCATCAGATGCGGAAACTATCCATGGATATTCATGGTGGAACAATGTTGTGCGAATGTAATCTAAATGACCCAATAGAGTAAAAATGCACCGTTTTTGTTTGTAATTCCATACTTTGATCTTGTAATCATCACCACCAGAAACAAATAAGGGCTGTTGATTGTGGAAGCAAATGCCTCTTACAGGGCCATCATGCTCATCAAATTTCTCTAAGAGAGTGCACATGCGGTAGTCCCATAATTGGATACAACCATTGTGAAGACTAGTTAAGATCCAGGGACGTTTAGGATGAAAAGATAGCCCTTTTACCCGGGCGGATTTTGTTTCAAACTTGGTTAACATATTCGTTTTTTCAAAACACACAAAAGACTCAGTAACAACTTTAGTTTTATACAATACCTATCGCATTATTAGCACATTTCAACATAAAATTGTCTTTTACTATAAAAAAACATATACTTTTAACAAATTTACTGGTATTGACGTGGAAATCAAACCTTTAAAACCTGACACGTCAAACTTTTCTTCTTCTTTTGTATTTACGTCTTTACATTTTACATGTTGTACCGCTGTCAATCGTTATCGCTTATAAACGTTGTTATATCATCAATATTTAGTATTATTATGCTTTACTTGAAGAAAGTCTAGTAAATTTAAAGTTAATCAGGAAACCAAATAACAATACTAAAAATTTAAATAACAAGTACAAATTACAATTAAAATGTATGAAACATAATAATATCTATAATATCTACGTAGTAGAAGGTAGAGGGGAATCAAATGATAAAGAACTGTTAGCAAAAACCTAAGAAAGGAAATAATATTGAGTAAAAAATAACTGTAAAAATTTTGTCCTTTTGGATTGTTGACCTAATTCCTATAAAAAAAATCTAAATTATTTCTAAAACTAGATAGTAAAACTAAAAACTACTAATATAAATATTAAATTAAGTATTTGAACAAAATATAAAATTAGAAATGTAAGAAATCAGAATTATATTTAAAGCAAACAAGATGGTGAATGATTCAAATAGTCAGAATATTATCAATGCACAGAGTATAACTATAAAGATACTTAAAATATACATTATAACATATTGAACCCTCGTCAAAATATGCTTCATCAAACAAAAATTTGATTTTACAATGGGCGCGTTCAGCAGACGGAGCTGTAATGAAATGCAAAACCTTTATAAACTAGGTTTTAATATACAAGAAATTAGCATTTACTGGCTATTTTTAAAGTGACTGTATAATTTGTATATTCTTTTATACTTATAGACGACGTGTAAAAGAAGTACGATAAATATAACCTGCCAGCAATAACAAGTCAATTGTCAAGTATCGTTGTAGAAACGTTTTCGTTTTGGTATTTATTGCTATTATATTTTGATTTGGTTTAAATTTGTGTAGGTTTTTGAAGATAAGTATATGGTCAGTCATAACATACTAGGTAATTCATAAAAACTAATAAATTAGTATGGGTTCCAGTAGTAAGAAATATAAGGAGAAAGAAGGAAGAAAAAGACGTCATGATGATTCCACTGAATATGATACACCAAAAGAAAAACGACACAAACATAAAAAACACCACCATAAGGAAAAGAGGCGAGACAAGTCTTCAAAGTATTACGAAGAAGGTAGTAAATCTCGTTACCATGATAGTTCGGAAAAATCATCATCAAAAAAGAATTACCAAAGTGATGGTTAGTATGCTTTTGTTATTTTAAATTTCAGTTACTATAAGTGGTCATTTTTTTATGGCATTATTAATTAAGACGTTATTGAGAATTTTATTGTTTCAGCAACTTTTTATTGCCACAATTTTATTTATTTGCTTCTCTACTGCCTACAGACTAAACAAATCAAACCTGTTAAGTCTAGATAAACAACCTTCCAAATGTGGTGGTTAGTGGTTCGTTGAACCTTGTAAATTTCGCTGATGACTCTGGGTGTTTCAATGATGTTCTGGGAAAAACATTAGACACACTCCTCACAGTGGCAGAGCAAACTCTAATCAAGGATGAACAGTGGTTCAGTCAAAATAGGCTGTTGCTTAATACTGATAAGACAGTTTTTGTTAACTTTAGAACTAGAGTTAAAATTACAAAACAGCTCTTCCTTTTTTAAATCTGTTCAGCTTGTTTATATATTTTTTAATTAGATGGTAGTTTTCTATAGGCTTTTATGTCTCAATAATGAATATGTTTTTAACAAAAGTCTGTTATGTGATGTGGAATTTTAAGCATTTCGCTATTATTAGTAACTATACTAATATTAAGTAGCTGCATATTAATTTTCATTTGTAGGAAATGGGTGACTATGTTTCTTCACAAATGTAACTAAGGCAAAGAAGTAGAAGAAGAGCAACAGTGCAGTGAGCAACTCATTTTTTTAGCAAGTATCCCAAGCAACTGCTGCAGTTTAAAAATTACCATGGATACTGATAGACTAACCTCATCTAGATGTTAATTGGTTGAAATGATTATTCTAAAAAGTTCTGAAACTATTTTCTTGGGGCATATCTATGTTAAATAATCACCTACTAATAAAGCTTAAAGTAGCAAGAGTGTCAGACTACATAATAAACAGTGTAAGGAATTTTTTAAACTGTTTTTTCGGGCTATTAGGCTGTTGTCTTCTAAGATTAGTTCTTGACGTTTCACCAACACTAGGAGTTGGCATCTTCTGGAGATGTTAATCCCTCGCTTGTAAGCATAAATTGTTTATGCTTACAAGCGAAGCATTAACATCTCCAGAAGATCCCTAGTGTTGGCGAAACGTCAAGAACTAATCTCAGAAGACAACAGCCTAATAGCCCGAGAAAACAGTTTAACAAGTTAAATGATGGCCGTGAAAGCTTAATGCAGTTTATCAGTGTAAGGAATTACCTGAGACAAACAGCTATTTAAATGTGGCATTTATTGTAGACACAAAAATTATCATTAGGGGTACCATAAGGGTCTGTTTTGGGCCCTACGGTATGGAATGTACCGTACAACAGGGTATCGACTATAGTCAAGACACCTAGCATTTTAAGATGAGCTCTCAATCTTAATAGACACAAACGTGAATGGGGATATTGGAAATAAGGTGACAAGTTGTTATAGAAAAGTCAACAGATGGATGATAGAAAATGACCTGGAGTTGGAAAATAGCAAACCAGATATAATACTACTAAAGGAACTATGACAGAGACCAAATCTTTAAATGATAGTATTATAGAGCATAGTAACTGTGCTAAATACTTGGGCATACACCTTGATTAAGGTTTGAAATACATAAAACACCTGATAAATGTAGTTCAGAATGCTGAACAGAAAACCACTGCCATGACAGATTATTCCAAATATAGGCAGACCCAGTACCTATAAAAGGAAAATGTATATTCAGATGATCCAGTCGTCCCTCCTATATGGGGCACCTGTATGGCTTAATATGTTAAGATGTAAAAAATATAAAGAGATATTAACAAGAACCCAAAAAAAACACTCCTCAAGGTAATAAGAGTGTACCAGACTACATTGACAATAGCCAGATAGGCTATTGTGGGTATGCTCCCCACTCACTACCTAGCTAAAGAACAAAAGATCTTATATGACAATGATAAAAGCCACCTAGCAAGATGAAAGTTGCTAGAGAGAATAAATGCTAAACGAGTGGCAACTAGAATGGGAGGCACAGACAGAAAAAGCACAATGGACAAAGACACTAATTCTAGGTAATATGAAGGAGCGGTATAAATATAGGTTTAAAAGAATAAATTACTTTGTTACACAAGTCTTGACCGGTCATGGCTCATTTAGGTCTTATACATATCTCATAAGGAAAACTGAAGACAATTTATGTATAGAATGTGGAGTGCGTGACAACACAGCATTGCATATTCTATGGCAATGTTTTTTTGCAATCTGTTTTTCACAGTTCACAACAAGCTATGAGAACAAGACAAAACTCAAAGACAAAGAATTTTAACGTGATAGTAGACCTAATAACAGAAATAATAAAAAAAAGAAATACAAGAGAGAGCGAGACAAGATGGGAGATGCGAGAGTAACAGAAGTCTGCGAGACTCTTATTCCTCATTGTATGGAACAAATCATAAGAATAAATCAAAGAATGTAAGTGGAAAGATGAACTACTCCTTATCACTGTGGGCATTACTAACATGGAGTAGAGATAATCAGTAGCAGGCAGCCAAAGTAACATTTGCTAAGAACATGTACTGGGTGTCCGCTACTGGAAATAAGGGGTTTTTAGTGGGTAGACAGTGGCATTGACTGAGCAAGCGGACTGATCCCACATACCAGAGGGAGTACAGTACCCAGGTTTTCTACTTTCTTGGGGTTGTGCGGTTTGCTCTGATGGTCTTATGAAGATTTCTTCCTCCCAAAAGTTAAATAATATGTTTATATGGAATCAAGCCACAATTGATGGTAATAAAAATTACATTTTATCATTATTGTTTTAACGTTTCGATTTCCACTCCATAAATTATTTTAAAAAATGTTTTAAATTATGGAGTTGTCACTGGTTAAATAATAAAAAAACCGCCTGGCTGAAAGATTTCAGTCGATGGCCTTTTCGAATAAAGTATATTTCGCTCTCTCTAAAAAATCCATTAAAATTACTGTCACACAGTCCTTCCATTACAAGTAGAATTTTTTTTGTATTCCGTTTTGCTCTTTATACTTTTCTAATAACCTTGTTACCATTTTAGATGTTATGTGGTATTTTTCTGCTTGAAGTTTACTTAAGAAATGTTTGCCAGTCAAATATTTACAGTCAAAGGCTTCCTGGGTACATTTAATTTTCAATTAACAAGACTAATTAAAAAATGTCTCAGATTTCGTCATTCGTTTAATGTAACATGATTCTTCTGTCTATGATTTTTTTGTATATTTGTATAAACACTATAAAACTTTGGAATTTCATGTGTCTGGTTAATTTTGCGGGACAGTGTGTATGTTTAATTTTTTTATTCTTATGTGAAAACAGTTAAATAACTTCCTGAATGTGTTAAGTATACATTTGATGAATGGCTGAGTGATCACGAGTGTTCTACAGTTTTCATTTTTACACAATATACCCAAAATAATGTAACACTGAAATTGGGTGATAACTAAAAGTTTGATTGAAGAGGAATTTGATCACATTACTTTCGATGAGTGGTTAAACGATAAGTAGTGATTCAAATTGACAGATCTCTATATTGACATAGAAAGTGAAGTGAATCAAATAAGTGTAAACTTATGTGATTATAGTGCTGATTATAGTGAAATATAGTACAGAACTTGGTAGTGATTTGTACTGTCATAGTGATAACAATATTTAACACAATGTTATTTGTATGTAACACAATTATCCAGAAACAGTTGTCATAATGTTAGATACTCATCTTATTCTTCTTCTTCTTCCTCAGCTTGTTTCTTTTTAGGGGTCACCGTTCGTTACTCTCCTTCACTACTTATTTCTGTCCATCGTGACTTCATTTAAACTTTTCTCTCTGAAGTTCTCTGTTGGCTGACCCTTTTCATCTCCTCTACCGCACGTCGATGGAGGAAGAACTGTTGGTGGGAGTGCATGTGTACAAGCGCTGATGGGATGGTGGCTGTATTACATACATGCAGCACAACCAACCAGTTTAAATCTTTTTGGATTTAACTCGTATTCATTATTTCCAATGACAATGGACAGTAAAATATTAAAAATTTAACAAATTGATTTGTCAAAAGGAATACATTAAATTATTTACTTAATAAATAATGTTACCTGTTTAACATTCAAATATTGGGAATAACTATATACAAGTTATTCACCTGTCAAATTCACGTTGACATTGTGCTAGTAATGGGATACCAGTTTCGTCGTTTATCCGCTAGATGTAAATTTATTCGTAGGTTCCATCCTGAGTATATTACATCATTCTCTCTCTCCAATGGCGCTACTCCCCAAATTAAGCCTTTGCCCACTCCAACTATATCTTTAACTTTGCCGGTTCCACGCCGATCTTCTCCAGGTTCTCTCAAATTTTGCGCGTCTGCTGCCTTCACACTTCCACCTTTTCCGTAACCTTCCTTTTGGCCTTGCGCCCTCCATTTTACTATATCTTTTTGGCAATCTTTCAGTCCCCATTCTCACTACATAACCAGCCCATTGAAATCTCTGAAGTTTAAGCGAATTCTGAGATGGGTGCTTTTTTAAACAGTTGGTAGAGTTCATGGTTGTACCTGGATACTCAGTTCTCGGTAATAGGTCCAAATATATGTAATAGGTATTACATCGTTGGTCCCACCATTTAGTTGTCACTATTTAATTTTTACATAATTTGATCCTTATGACATTAGTAGGTTATATGACTTGTATAAAAATATTACAGCCTCTGCCGCTTCTCGCGTTTCGACCGCAATCGTTTTCCGTCCATCCATTCGTCTTTTTTGATGGCTGAAGGCCTTCCCCTTCTTCGTCTTTGTTGTGGTATGTAATATAAAGCTTTCTTTCGCCATCTATCTTCATTAATTCGCTTCACGTGACCATACAACACTAGTGGTCTCGTTTCAATTATGTCTACACTGGAATATACACTATTTGTCCTCCTAATATCTTCATTCCTGATATGATCTTTTTTGGATATACCACACGTTCTCCTTAGAAAATCCATTTCTACTACTTCTATTATTTTTTTATCTTTTTTGCGTGATCTGCCAAACTTCTGCCCCATAAATCATAATAAGCTCTACCAAGGTTCGATGGATTGTCAATTTCGTTTCTTGTCTATATCTTTAGACCATAATAGAGAGTTTAGAATGTTTACCGATTTTTTCCCTGCTGCGTTCTATTTTCGATGTCTCTTTTGGTAGTGCTTTCTTTAGATATTATAGATCCGAGATATTTATATCCATTACATGTTTTTGTGTTTCTAATTTCTAACTCTGGATCTTCTTCATCATCTCCTATTTTAAGATACTCTGTCTTTGACATATTCATATTGAGGCCCCATTTTTCATATTCTTTCTTTAGTTTTCTAAACATATAGTTTATGTCTTCCTTATCATTCGCTACGACGACCTGATCATCTGTGAAAAATAAAATTGTTAGACATTTACCACCGCCTATGTCTATTCCCATTCCGGATACTTGTTTCCTCTACTGCTCTAGCGATGATTGAATATATATTTTAAATAAGGTCGGAGATAGTATACAACATCCTTGTTTAAGCCCCTTTGTTATTGGAAATTATTCAGATATAAAGTTTCTTTAACGACACTTCTTGCATTTTTGTATATATTTGCGATAGCATCCACATACTCTCTACTGAGACCTACTTTCGTCAATGTTTGAAACATTTTATTCAAAGGTACCGTATCGTAGGTATGCGTTCTCTAAATCTACAAACAATAGGTGGGTAGATAGATTCCTTGCCTTCCGTTTTTCGACTACCTGCTGCAGCACAATTATACCATCAGTGCACGATCTTCCTGCACGAAATCCATTTTATTCTTCTATGTCTTCATATTCTGATTCTATTCTTTCTTTTATTATTCGACCGTACAACCTTCCCACTGAGATGATAACAGTTTTTCCCATATAACTAGAGAATTTGCGTTTATCCCCTTTCTTGAATATTGAGCTGATGTATCCAACATTCCAATCATCAGGGATATTTTGTCCTTTTAAGCATTTGTTAAATAGTTGAACCAACATCTCATGTAATATTTTTGGTCCATACTTTACCAACTCAATTGGGATGTCTCTAGGTCCTGCTGCTTTATCGTTCTTCGATCTTTTGAGGGCGTCGCTTAACTCTCCGGTTGTTATCTCAATTATTTGTGTATGTTCGGATATTTCTCCCATTTCGATCTCTTGGAATTTACATCTATCCTCTGTCAGTAAGACCTCATAATGTCTGTTTCCACTGTTCTAGATCTATTAATTGTAAGTTAGACTTTTCCTTTCCTTCCCTTCGGAGAGACTTTATCACCTTCCACGCTTGCCCAACTCTTGTTCCACCCATATACCTATCAACCTCTGCACATATTCGATCCCACATCTCATTTTTACTTTTCACTACTTCTTATTTTATATATCTTTTAATCTTCCTCCTTTCTCATTGACATCCATTTCTGATAAGCAGTTTTCTTCTTGTTTACTAACGTTTGCATATTTGCAGAACACCATTCTTGATTTCTTATTTCATCTTTGTCTTTATACCCCAAAGCTTCACATGCAGCCTCATGAATTCATTTTTGAAGTTGCTGGTGTAATTGTTCCGCTGATATATTTTCTCGATCCACATTTTGTAATTTTGTGGCCCGTCGTAATTTGTAAAGAAATTTCGTTGAATCTTCTTTTATGCTTTCTAGGTTATATTTAGGGGATATTACTTCTTGTCCCTTTTCTATATTCTGTACCTGATTGTTATTATTTTTGCGATAGTTAAATATCACGTTGGCCATAAGTAAACGATGGTCGGATCCACATTCTGATCCACGGTATACCCTTACGTCAGTTGTTTTCAACTGGAAAGATTGACTTTGGATACAATTTGTGTTGAAATCAATGTTGAAAAAAGCCATTAATATTTTGAGAGACATTGTTTTACAAAAATCTCTAAGACGCATTCCATTCTTATTTGTTATTTGTTTCTCATATCTTCCTACGACTCTTTTATTTTCTTCTCTCCCTACTCTGCCGTTTAAATCTCCTAGTATAAAGATTTCACAGTTTTCTTTAACTTCAGAGAGTACTTCATTCATCTTGTTGTAGAAATCGTCTTTCTGGATCTTCATTTGGGACATGTACTCCGCCAATTACGATGTTGTGCCCATTCTTTTTCATTTCCAGTATTAGCAGTTGTTCGTTTACTTCAGTCCACGATTTAATATCGTTAAGATTTTTTCGAATGACAATAGAGACTCCTTTCTTAGCTCTGTTATCTTTACTCACTCCACTGTAGATATGTGTATATTCTCCTATTTATTAAATTTCCTTTTCCCTTTTTCTTTAGTATATGAATTTTATTTCAAAAAGGAATTACCAGCTATAAAAAAATTGCATTTTCATTTCAATCTAATGAAAATATTCCAAAAATATGAAGATTTGTTTTGTTACATACTTTACGTGAAATGAACTTTCAAGATATTTCAAGAAAAAGAGGAATAGTACCCCTAATGAAAAATAAGAAATTATTTTATGGCGCAAAAAGTAACTGAAACAAATAACAACATTCGAAGAAATGGAAAAAAAACATATACAGATGAAATATGGTTAAATGAAGGGCATAATGTGACAAAAATATGGCAGGATTTAAATGTGAAAAGAAAACAACAAGCTTTACTAACTGGTTGGTCGACTGGTTTAAAAGCCCCATCCGGAAAGAGAAAACGCTTTATTATTAGCCATATTGGTAGCGAGTCACGATTTGTTGAACGAGGTTTAAATGCATTCCTTTGAATACATTTAAACCGAGATTGCGGATTGGCTTATAAAAAACATTAAATTCGATGAAACAATTTTGAAAATTAAGTTACTAAACTTAGCACTGTGTCATTAAGATAAATAATTATATTAAATATGTAGTAGATGAAATGGCGCGCGAGAACGAGGCTATTTGTAGTTGCTATTTGAAATGCGAGCTCAAATAATAATAAAGTAGCAAGGAACAATGTTACTTTCAAATTTAATTATATAAAAAATCTGCTTAATAGTGTCTTCAGCAATGTGATCTTACAGTCGTGAATAAAATGTATCGAGCATCTAATGAAAGAAGAGCACAATATGTGGAACCTTGATAACTTCATTGAAATTACCATGGAACCAGTAGTTGTGGATCTAGGCGAAGATATATATATATATATATATATATATATATATATATATATATATATATATATAATAACGGATTGGATTACGACTGTCGCCGCTTCTCCGCCCCCAATTTCCATCTTTTTCTGTCATATGCAGTTGCCTCTTCTAAGTTTCTTGCCGCCATTGCTTCATCAATAACGTTGCGCCAACTTCTCCGTGGTCGTCCTCTCTTTCTTCTTTTAGGACGGATCCATTCCAGTACTCTTCTAGGCCATCTGTACTCTGGCATTCTTTTAATATGTCCGAACCAGATTAATTGCTTTCTTTCTATGTCATCATTTCGCTCCATTTTCATTTCGTTTCCTATTTGTTCGTTTCTAACTCTCTATAGTTCGATCTACCGCAGCTTCGTCTCAGACAGTCCATTTCTGTCGTCATAAGTTTGTTTCTATTAATCAGATACTACTGATTCATCTAAAGATGACATAGATGGCCCAGATTAGATTATGTATAATGTTAGTTTGTATTTGAACATATTTTTTATATTTAATGGAAATAAATATTCAGTTAAGGTGACCCATTTATTACTAGTACTGTTTCGTACCAAGAATTGTTTAAATACTTAAGTTTCAGTTTTACCTGTGCCAAAAGTAACTAGATGGCCGTTTTTCTAATCCCATGTCATTAAATCTCATTTGACAATAGAACTTAAATTTAATCCTTGAATCAGTCGTAAGTTTAATAATTTAAACGGATAAAGAGCTTTTCCCAAAAAATATATTTAACAAGGACTAGTTTTCTTTATCTAGGCATCTATAAAATAAGAGAATAATTTTTATGATAATCAATTTGCTTGAAATCCTGATTATTATTTAATAAAAACCGCACGCCATTGACTCGTCGATTTCCTTTCCCCTCAAACCCACATTTAAAAGATGAGTCAGTTTCTAAAATTGTAACGAAAGCCAAGTCATATAAAAAACTTTGACAATGCCCAAGAAGAATGCGGATTAATTCACCCCAATAAGCGAATCAGAGAGCTCTTAGTAAGAGTGGCATACATTTTATCAGCAATGAAATGCTTTGATGATGATGAATTCTGGATATGCCTAAAACCCAAGAATATGCAAGGCCCAAAGAAGGCTCTCAGAAGAACTATGATATACGAATCTAACTTGTAACTTGAATCGTATTCTAAAGTTCAGAGTTTATTATTTGTCTTATCTTTGTATTCTCTATCGTCAAATAATGATACGATAATACAAAAGAAATTATTTTTTCTAATATCTGAAATTATTACATGAAATATTTATTTGTCAGATCTACTTTTCCTAAGTCATAATTTTACCAGCTTTCGTTTTTTAGATTCAGATGTTATCGAAATTATTGAGGATGCCTCACCTCCTCGTGTGCCAGAACCTGCACCGAAGAAAACCTCCCATCCGGAACCGACAAGCCACTCTTCAGGCAACCAACATGTTGAAAGTCTTTCTATCGAAGAAACTAACAAACTTAGAGCAAAGTTGGGACTTAAACCGTTAGATGTGGGCACTTCCAGTAGTAATAGCAACAATGCTAAAAGCAGTAAAGATAAAGAATTACTAAAAGATGATTTAGGCGAGTTCTACCATAAACCTGCAGAAAATTTAGTTGAAAAGGCACAACAAGACAAGATAAGGGCCAAGCTTCAAGAAATACGTGAAAAACGACAAATGCATAATAAATTATCGTCAGTGAAGACACTTGCTGAAAGCGATAGTGAAGATGATTTGTCTTCATGGGTACAAAAAAGCAGACATATTGAAAGTGCGAAAAAAGAAGCCGAAAAACGTGCTAAAATGTTGGAAGAACTGGACGCTCAGTTTGGAATTAGTGATTTTGTTGAATCAGAAAATAAAGCTAAAATGAAGAATAAATATTCAGAACAAGATCTTAGAGGTCTAACAGTACAACACGATGTAGACAATTTTGTTGAAGAAAAAACAGTTATTCTCACTTTAAAAGATAAAGGCGTACTAGATGAAGAGGATGATGTGTTAGAAAATGTTAATATGATTGATGATGAACGTTATAAGAAAAATATTGAAAATAAGAAGAAAACAACTGTTTATAATCCTTATGAAGATCCAGAATTTGATGAATTGGGTAATTATAGGGAAAAATCATTATTATCTAAATATGACGAAGAAATAGATGGTGCCAAGAAAGATACTTTTAAAATTGGTTATGATAATGCTGTAGAACGGAAGCTACAAGCAGTGCAATCAGTTAAAGCAAAATTAGCACAAAAGAAGTTAGAAAGTTTGGACAGTACACAGCTAAAAATTGCTTCGGATTATTACAATGAAGAAGAGCTAGCTAAATTTAAAAAGCCCAAAAAAAAAGTAAGGAAAATAAGAACAAAAGGAAAACTGATAAGCACAGATGAAATAAAACCAGATAATGCTGGTATAGAAGCTATTGGATCAAGAAGACCTAAAGTTAAACACGAAAATGAATATGATATAGATGATGTTCCTTTAACAGATATTCCTACAGATATTAAGATTGAGGATGATAAAGACGACATATTAGAAAAGGCGCTACACAAAGCTAGAAGAATCAAACAAAAGGAAAATATTGTAGCTGACATTATAAAAACTGAAATAAAAACAGAACAGGAAGAGGAAAATTTGGATGGCAGTAATATAATTTTGAACGCAACAGCTGAATTTTGTCGAACTTTAGGTGATATTCCAACTTACGGTAAATCCGGAAATAGAGAGGAAACTGAGGATGCGATGGAATTTGATAAAGACAGTGAAAATGAACAACCTGATAGCGATGACGACTGTAAGATTGTGGAAGACGGTACAGGATGGAACAGCGTAGATCCCAGTAATCAAGGAATGAGTTCTACGCAAATCGGGGTACAAGATGTGCAGATTTTGGGTGAGGAACCTGACGTGAGTACTGGTGTTGGAGCTGCACTTAAGTTAGCTATGAGCAAAGGTCAGTAAATAACATTTTTCTTATTGTAGGTTATGTTTGTAATTTTTTTGTAGTACTATAATTCAAATTCAATTGGATTGTCAAGGCAGACCTTTTGTAGTTCGTAAACACTTGATAGTAATCGGCTAGGTATATATTTATTTATTAGCACACAAATTTACTTCTCAATATTTTTGCAGTTTACATCTGATAAGTCTGAACTGGATAAAGTAGACTCGCCTTGTTGCGAAATTTATTATTTAGTACCGTGTGCAGCTTGCCAGTGTCGTTGAGGTATGCCTAAATGTCAAAAGAGGGTCAGGCGGACAATGTTATCTTTTTCGAAAGTAATATTCTTATTGCAGTACAGCAACATTTTGTATTGTTCAACCTCGCCGGCAAATAGTGAAAATAAATATTAAAATCAGGTGGTCAGAAGTATTTCATGAGCGCACAGTTGGGTAACATGGCATCAAAACCAACGTGTAGTACATCTATCGATAAACCGAATAATAGGAGGTGGTTATCTGTGAAAGAAAAACAAATTTATAAAACGGTTTATGAGGGATTACGTAGAAGAAATCAAGATATGTTTATAGAGGACGTCGCGGCGTTGTGTGGTGATTTAACGAAAGTATCGGCTCGTGCGGTTTTTCGAATAATTCAAGCTAATAAACCACTTCAAAAACCTATTCATAAAGTACGTACAAAAATTGTATGGGACGATATTACGAAAAGTATAATCCGAAGAAAAGTTCATGGATTTTATTTAAAGAACGAAATGCCCACGTTAAAGGCTATTTAACGAGAAATTAATGCAGACGCAGATGATACTTTAAATAAAATACCCATGCGGGTATTACAAAGAACATTAGGTGAAATGGATTTTCGATATGTAAAGGTAAGTCGGAAAAATTTATTATTCGAGAGAGACGAACTAGTGATATGGCAAAGAGAATATTTACAAAAAATTCGTGATTTTAGACGTCTTGAAAAAAATATATATTATATGGATGAAACGTGGTTGAATGAACACGAAATCCAAAGTATGGCTAGACTTAAATATTAAAAGTTTACGACAGTCTTTACTTTCTACCGGCTTAAAAGCACCGCATTGTTACTCACATTGGAAGTGATTTAGATCTCTTACAAGGTGGTTAAAATATGTTTACCTCAATCAAAACGGGCGATTATCACGAGGATATGAATTCGGATGTTTTTGAAAAGTGGTTTTCCTCTACACCGACTCTTGTAGAACCTGGATCGGTAATTATTATGGACAATGCACCTTATCAAAGCCATTGTAAGCAAAATACCGACTCTGCATTTCGAAAGACAGACATAGTAGATTGGATAAGAAGTAAAAATATAGAATTTGATGAATCCATGATAAAGGTTCAATTACTTGATAGAATTCGCAAACATAAGACTTCAGACGTCAGATTTGCAGTAGACGAAATGGCACGTGAGCATGGCATCACCGGATGTCATGTTCTTTAAAAAAAACTTCTGTCTTTTCAATAAAATTCTCCTTATTTGGCTACTTGAAGACAATTATTTGTAAATATATGTATTTTATAATATACACCCAATGTCTCCGTTGTATTTCATTTTCATGCTTACATTACTGATTGTTATTTTAACTAGGTTAATTTAATTTGCTCGATATTTTCAAATCTTTTAATAAATTCAGTAATTTTTGTGAATTTACTTAATTATATTAGTTATTTCATGACCAATAAGGGGTAATACCATATTTTTGTATTTCACTCGATCAAATATCTTTCTGTAATCGATAAAGCACAAAAATACGTCATTTCGTCGACATTTCTGTAGTTGTAATTGAAGATTAATAGAGCCTTTCGGATTCCGAGTGTCAAGCTAACTCTAGACAGATTATCACGTATATGGTTCATTCGCATTAATAATTGGTTAATGCGAATAACTTTTGGTGTATAATTCCGAGTAGAGCTGTGTTAAACTATTGTAAGGATTTTACTATCTTCATTTACAATCTTTTAATTTATTATTAACATGCTCTAACACTTAGTATTTATTTATTTAATTTATATACAATCTTACATTAATTTATTTTCTGTTAACACTATTCTAATTTATATAATTTATTTACATTTATTTACACGTTTCAATTCAAACCCGTAACTATTGTAACAGTATTCTTTATATTAATTAATCTAAATTATAAGCATATTTTGACCTTGACCACTTAAGTGTAGTAATGAATATAGAATTCAACCAAAAGTTCTCCATTCCTCCCATATCGGAGATTGGATATCATCAAGGCTATTCGAAATTTATTTACACATGTTCTAAAGAGTACGTTTGTTGTACAACCAAAGCAGTATCTTAGATTTCTCATCCAGACCATTTTTCTGCTACCCGGATTCCTTAGTCCTTCAATCTTTCCCTCCAGTATACTTTATAGGAATCTGTATTTTTACACCTGCATTAGATGGCTTAACTATTCCAATTTTTTTCCGCAATTCCATTTGTGACTCACTCAACCCAACTTATTTCTAGAAAAAGTTCTAAAACTACTAAATATTATATAAAGAGAACACTTATCAGTAATAAAAATAATTGTAAACGTTGGTAAACATCGTCGTGTCATCTACTTAGATGTCATATATTATTTTATAATGTTTGATATTAGTTTGAACCTAAACCATCGTTTAATACGTGTTTAAAAGTAAAGTAGACAAAATAAATACAAACCAATGATTTTCAGGTTACCTTGACAAGGAACAGAAAAATCGTCCGTCGAATTCCCGTTTAGCTCATCTTCAAGCGAAAAACTATTCAATAGAAGATAAGTCATACGGAGATGATGGAGATAGGCAAAGCCGACGAGAGAGATACGCTGGCCCTATAACAGAGTTTAAGGAAAAGGATAGTTTTAAACCTAATGTTAAACTGGAATACATTGATGATGAAGGTCATATTCTAAACTCGAAAGAAGCTTTCAGGTAATACAGTTTTTTATTTATAATTGAGAGGTCAGTCGTAAAAGGGTTTAAGTGCAGTTTTGATACTTCTTAGATAATCAGCGTCAAATTTGTTTGAGTTTTATAAATTCTAGGAATGATTAAACTAAAATATGTCTATTGTATAATGTTCTATAAAATGATAAAAATATAAGGGTATATTATTACTTTTACATCATTTCTTTTATTCAATTATTGAAAAAATGTACTTGAATCGGGACATGGTGTTTATAAATGTTACTGGTAAAACGGTTCAAGTGCAGATGTTAGGTATTACTAATCTTTTTTTGGTATTCAACTAAACTTTATTTTGTAAACTTTTAAGTACAATATCATTCGTAATCCGACTCTAAGAAAATATCTTCTTCGCCATCATTCCCGTCGGCGTCGTCTCTGCTGGCAGCTGAGAGCTGAGATCAGCTTTTGCTGATTCCAATTTTGCATCTACCGTTGATGTTCCATTATGTTTCAAATTTCGGCAAAAGGAGTGGTGACATAAGGGAATATAGTCCAAGAGGCTTAGCAGATTTTTATATTTGGCATCCTTAATTGGTAGCGTTGTGTCATTAATAGTGTTCAATTTGGAGAGCTGAAAAGATAGACGCCCACTTTGTGCTTTTTCCATAGTACACATCTAAAACTCAATATCCTGGTTTAAAGTGTGCTTGTATCTGAAAGCCAGTTTTTCTGTCTTAAAATATGCCAACCAGGAAATACTGCGCTATTGTATTCTCTGACCAATGGAATCCTTTTTAGGATCTCTCATTATTTCACGTAGAATCGAAAATGAGTAAAAATCTTCTGTCGTCATATTGTAAACCACAAACTTTGATAATGTATTTTTTATAATACGTTCCCAATCTGCTGGAACAAAAACTTGAGGAATTTGTCGTTTTTTTCTTTTCAATTAAACCAAAACAGTAAATTTACAAACAGTAAATTAAACAAATTTTGTTTTTTAAAAAAACAAAAAATTTTTTAACAAAAAACAAAATTTGTTTAATTTACTGTTTGTATTTTGAGAACGATTTCCGAAGTGGAAGTTGAAACGTCATTAAACGTATTTTTATCTTTAATTGTGGCTTATTCCCAGTTTAATAGTAATTAATTTACAATGCCACAAGAAAATAGCTTCAGAACAATATGAGCCTATTTCCTGGGAACCTCTTGCTGCAACTATTTCATTCCATAAAAACATGTGACTTTGTCCAGTAAGTAAATTGTATATACAAAAATTGTACGTCCATAGTTGACGACGGTAAAATACCTTGGATGTAGTTATTAGTGGTGTTGGCAATGTCTGTTGCAAATCGAAACAACGACAGTGTACTCAATATTTTTGTGTTTTTCAATATCTAATTTTTTAGAATCGTTTGCATTCTTAGCTTTTCTGTGATGTAATTATAAATCCCGTTTAGCGTTTGAAATGGTTTCCTCATTTTCAGAATATTTTATCAAGTTTTTAAAATTATCACAGCGACTGCATGTATAAGGCTTATGAAATTTCAAATTGAACTCTGTGTTGAAGATAAATCGATAATATGATTCTTTCACAGGTTCTTCATGTTGTTCATTACAAAATTCCTTATATAGATTATACATCTTACTAATATTCAAATTGCAAGGAAGGTATTTAGTATTGAGATTGTCTTTTCTCGAATAATGGCTCTGATACTTTGGAAACATCTTAATGTGGGAAATCACCATATTTTTGGATGATTGTTTAATTTTGTTTGGGGTTCCTTTTTCCCTCGTTTATTAGGTTCACTCATTTCGAAGTCTGATATTTTTGAACAAACAACCTGAAATCTGCGCACAGAAATGTCAAAATTACGTAAAAAAACGTTTTGCAGACACAGTTTCCGATCAGAGTTATTATTGTGCTGTAGTTTTTCTTTTTAGAATCTTCTTCGTTGGGTCGTGCTGGGCCAACCTTTGCTATAGAGGCGGAGAGAAACGCTGTTTGCCGATCGTGTGAAGGTAATCCATAAACTGTTTGGAATAGTTTGCTTCTTTCCGTTTCATTAATGTTCTCGTTGCCATTGAATCGACATACATGGTTATAGACTTTCAGTTCTCTGGCTTTCTGTGGTTTATTTTTTCGTCCGACATAGGCTTTTCCTTCAGTTCGCAGTTTCTTTGCTATGTTGTCTTTCCAAATTTTGGGGTCTCGCTTAGGTTTTCTTGTTGTTTGAGGAGTAACATGTAAATCGTCATTGTTTTCAGAGAAAAGCTCGTCGACCCCTGTGTCATCCGCTTGTTCTGCTTTATTCGGTATATAATCTGAATTCTCGTCGGTTTGGAAAGGATCGGATTCTTCTGCATTAAATACGAAGTATTCAATTTGATAGAAAACCGTAGTGCTGGTGCGTGGCAGTGGCGGATCTAGACCTTAGGATGCCAGATTTGCCTTAGAGGGGGAACTTTCAATGAAACATCAACCGAAAGACATAAAAAAATATACCCAAATTACATAAAAGATATAAATAATACCTTATACGCATTAAGTTCCCTTAATTTTCCTTACTAACGTGTTTTGGGTTGAATTAAACTGTGGTACTTAAACCACAGTCTGCCTGTGGTTTAAGTTCCATGTCAGCTAATATATTTTTGTTTCAACAATTATTTCTATAATTTTGGACCTTATTAGGGGCGGAAATTTCCCAATTTTTGCTCCCCATAGATCCGCCACTGGTGCGTGGACATTATATTATTTACTTTTTTGTTTTCAACTTACAACAAAATATAACACCTATATTACATTCGAAAACTAAATTTTATGATGTTAAGTAATTTGATTTAATTTACTTACACCAACAGTCACGCGGCTGTTATCCAAAGTATAACTACAAGTTGCACATTAGATATTACTTAATTATTCTTTAAAATTCGACAAAAATTTAATATTTATTTACTTGAAAATAATCTTGTGTTTTACATGTGCTCTTACAGAATATTGAAAATAGTTGGTGGTAAAACGGTTCAAGCGCACATAAACCTGTTTACTACCAATGCAAACTGCAATTGTTTTCATTAAATAAAATGTAATGGCGATAGATGGCGACTGTAGGGTGAAATGTGCTTGAATCATTTTACCACCAAGTTATAATACCATTTAACTATGCGAATCTGCACTTAGACCATATTTTTAAAAAAGTGGACTTAAACTCTTTTACTTGTAACCCCCTCAAGTTCTCATAGAGTGCATTAATTTTTCAACTAGGTATACGCTAAAATATGTAAGCTGTAAATGTTACAAAACTGACGATAGTATATCTTCACTTCAATTTTTATAATTAATTAAAATAAAGAAAAAACTCCTTTTAAAGCTTAGATAAAGTGACTAACGTGGACGTGTGACAAAAAAAACTAAAAAATCAGCCCTTTTTCAAACTGTTTTTTCATACAAAATTTAATAAAATGTTTAAGTTTTTTTAACATACCTTAAAAATGAACTCTTAAAGAATCGATTGCGATTTACACAAAACATAAAGTTGTAATACACGCTACGATAAATCGATAACGATTTAAGTTTACCGTTAAAACTTTACAGTTCGTCGTTCATTCCACTACGATACACGCTACGATAAATCTTTACTATTTAACGGTACGGTACAGTTCTCTTATCAATAATCAAATTTTCATGTGTAATTTTCATTGTTCGCGACGGCTTTGACTGATGACATGTTAGCGGTCGTGGGATTAATATTCGCCTTAGAAAAGATAAAACAGAGGAAAAATCGTAGCACCTGGTGTAATGACTGGCTGATGAAAGGAGAAGTTTATTCGCATGTGAATTTGTTGAAGGAATTAAAAACGTTTTCCCAAGAATATAGATACTTACGTACATCCGCTGTCTATAGTAGATCCAATTATCAAAAAGAAAGATACTGTTATGAAAAATGCTATTATACGAAGATACACGTATCGATAAAACTGCGCAGTTCCTCCGATACCGATAAATCTATTAAAATTTGTGTACTGTTCCGTTTGACGGTACCTTTTCTAAAAATTGTAGAAAACTGCAGTTTTACTGCAGTATTTCTTCATTGGTAACTTTGTCTGTCCATGGTATCTTCAGGATCCTTCTGTATAACCATAGCTCAAAAGTCTGAAATTTTGATAGAGTTTTAATGTCCACGTTTCTACTCCGTACAGAAGCTCTGAGTACACGTAACATTTAAGGAGCCTTATTTTTGTTTCTTGGATGAGGTCTCACACAGAGTTCATAGTCAAGAATGCACTTTTTGCCTTTCCGTTGCGACATTTAATCTCTTGGGTATTGTCCCATGACTTATTGATTAAAGTTCCCAAATAGTTGTATTGAGAGACACGTTCAATTCTCATTCGGTTCACATACAGATTTGCTTCAGTTATGTTTTTCTTGTTGATTACCATTAGCTTGGTTTTGCTGATGTTATCCAGTCCATATTTTCTACTTGTTTCCGTTATTTTGTTCATTAAGTTTTGCAGCCCTTCTATGGTATTGGAAAACACTATTATATCATATGCATACCGCAGATTATTGAGCTTGACTTCATTTATTGAGATGCCTTCATCAATATCTATTAGAGCCTCTTCAAAAATGTGCTCCGAGTACAGATTGAATATCAGTGGTGAAATTATCCACTCCTGTCTCACTTCCCTTAAGATTTTGACCTGATCTGTATATTCTCCATCTATTCGGAGCACCGCTGATTGATTTCAATACAGGTTAGCTATTATTTTTAAGTTTTTTCCGTCAATCCCTGTCCACTTCTTCCATCATTTGTTCATGTCTGACTCTATCGAAAGCCTTCTTGTAGTCAATCAGGCATGCAAAACATTACAGCTGACATCTCTACATTTCTGAAACAATATCTGCAGGCTAGTAAAGCTTCCTTCGTACCAACGGCGTTCCCAAATCCAAACTGATTTGGCACAATTTGCTCCTCGCATTTCCGGTAAATTCTTTTGTGGATGACTTTTAAAAACAGCTTCAGCAGATGGCTCATTAGGCTTATGGTGCTATAATCTTTACAACTTTTGCTCCTGGTTTTTTTGGGCAGTGGTACGAACTCCGATTTGAGCCACTCTACTGGTATTTTTCCTGCCTTGTATATTTCATTAAGTATTTCAGTTATTATTTTTATTTGTTCTGCATCTAATAGCTTCAACAGTTCTGCAGGAATTTCATCAAGTCCCGGTGCCTTTCCATCCTTCATTTGTCAGACGGCTGCCGTTATTTCTTCTGGTAGGATTTCGGGACCTGAATTTTCTTCAATGGTGGCCTCTTGTATTGTTCTAAGGTCATGGAAAAGTTTCTACAAGTATTCTTCCCATACTTTCTTTTTATCTTCGTTGGTTATGGCAAGATTGCCTTCATCATCTGTTATTTCCTTCACCTTTCGATGACCATTGAAGTTATCATATCGCCTCTGATACTCCTCTATTTCTTGATATTGTTGTGTTTTTTGTTTCTCTTTGGCTTCTCTTATTTTTCTTCTGACGATGGTATGTACTCTCTTATATTTTTGGAGATTTTCTTTGTTTTTTTTTTCTCGGATCCATAAGTTCAAGCATTTCATCGGTCATCCACGATTTCCGTTTCTCTGTATCTTTCTTTAGGTGTTGTTATTTTATTTCTCTTACTTTGTATGATGGTCAGACTTTCCTCTATAGTTCCTACATTTTTGCATTTTATCACCTTTGTATTTAGGTTTTCACTCACCTTCAGTTCAACATTGGGAACCTTCTTCATTCTGACTTTGAAATTACCTACAACTGGTACAAGATCAGAATTTATGTCTGCCCCCGGGTATGTTTTGACAGATGTACAACTGTTCCTATACCTCTTATTTACTAGCATGTAATCAATTTGATTTCTTACAATCCTTCCCACAGAATCCTGTGAAGATTTCCAGGTATACAGTTTCCTTGGGTGTAGCTTAAACCAGGTGTTCATTATTAGCAATTGATTTACTTCCGCAAAAATCTCCAACGTATCGCCCCGATCGTTCCGGTTTCCAAGACCAAATGATCCAACTGCAGATGATGTTTTGCTGACCCCAACTTTGGCGTTAAAGTCACCCATGACAATTATTAGGTCTTGTTTTTTTAACCTTTTCACGACTTGATTAATGCTATGATATATACTATATCTTTTTCTGTTCATTCTGTTGTAGGTGCATACACTTGGATTATATTGATGTCGATTGGTCTTGCTTTTAGTTATATGGACATCAGTCTTGCTGATATGGGGATGAAGTTGTCAACAGATTTTGCCACTTCTTTTGTTAATATAATGCCGACACCCAATTCATTTGGGTTTTACTTCCTGTGCCATGGTTTTCACGTTCCATGTGCCTATTCTGATCTCCTCTTGCATTTTAATCTTTTTGTTATACTTGTAACTGCTCCTCCCGGAGATCCGATTGAGGAGCTTACTCCGGAATTTAATTTCGCTGCAAGCATAGCCATTTGATTCTACTAGGACTTATCCAATACGGATCTTTAATGAGGTGTCTTGTCCCAATCTTACTTCCTGATCTCTATGCCGTTGACCGCTTCCACGGTTCTTCCGCCTTTGAAGCCAGTATTTGTTTTTGAAATTTAGCACACTTTAATAACTCATTAACTGCCACAATTTTGAGTAGTTATATTACGTGTCATTATGCAAAAATAAAGTTATTAACATATTACTGCAAAATTAAGGGGTTTTTACAACGATCTTGGCGAATTATTTATGTATTTTAATTTAGAAACTCGCAAATTGTAGAACTTTTTAATATCTACAATTTTTATTTGAACAATGTTTCTCTAAACTGTATAAGAACCGGTTTATAGGCAAAAAAAAAATTTTACTTTGAAAGATTGATTAAAACAAAAACAAAATAAAATCAACTATACGTTTTCACGGATTTTTCATCACCTACCCCTCACATACCTTTTAAAACTTTCAAATATCTGTATTAAGATTTTTACGTGTAATCATTAATTTTTTCACAGATAGAATATATATTTATGTGTGATCTTTCGAACTCTTTTTATTAACTTCGGAATTTTAACTTATGATATTATTTTGCCTATATATTTTTCTACACAGTTGTTCTAATTCTTAATATTTCAAATTTTAAGACTTGACATTTTATTTGTAAAATACATGACCTTTTTAATATGGACTTTCACTGTATTGTTATAGATTTTATTATACATAGTAATAGCTGTTTCAAAGGCAGAATTTTTATAGAAATTCATATTTGTTCCATACGGTTTTATTTTGACTTATTTTATACACAATATTTAGTAACAAATTCTCAACTACCAATTTTTAAACTTACTAATTCACCACTCTAAAACTTGCTTAACAAAAAAGATTTCTTAAAACATTACTGAAATTTTTAATCGCTCTATTTCTTTGGTAGGTATTTATCCCATAAATTCCATGGGAAGGGCCCTGGCAAGAATAAAGTAGAGAAAAGGATCCAGAAGAGTGTACAAGAACAACTTATGAAAAAGATGAGTTCCACGGATACTCCTCTTGGTACCCTAAACATGTTACAAGCAAAGCAAAAAGAAACACAATCTGCCTATGTTGTACTATCAGGAAATAAGCAGTCACAGTCAACATCCCTATCCAAAACACGAAGATGATCTCATTTATGTATTGTGCTCGAAGGGAACTCAAACTTTCTAATGATTTTTCGTTTTAAAAATGTTATGTCTGAAATTTCATTATATATTCCATTTCTGAAATATTTTTAAACCGAGAAAATATTGAGTGCTATATATGTATTGTTAATTTTTGGTGTGTAAAATATATTCCATTATGACTAGCAAAAATTCTGTAAAACATATATTAGACAGGCATTATAATATTAACATCTTTTTGTTTTTTTATTGTAACAAATAGTCCAGTCGTCAGAGAGTTTGACCTCTAAGAATCATACTAACAAGCTGAATTTTGCAGTGAATATTAATTTTGAGACTACAAAAAAGATGCAAAAAAGTTTACCACTTTTATCCCCGGGCTTCCCCCTTAAACTCCCCTCACAGGGGGGTAAAAACACAAAAAATCGATTTACCAAGAATCTGTACACCGTTGAAAAAAATGTTTCCAAAAAAATTTAGCTGAGATCATTTTAAACAAAAATGTTCACAAGCATTTTTTGTGTAAAATCACCCGTCCTAGAAACATGGCTTGAAGCGACCCTCGATTTTGCATGTCAGTTACTTGCGCGAAATCAATGGTCAATAAAATTTGTATCAGCTCAACGGTAAAAATTCGAGATATTTTGATCCAAAAAAGGCAGAACGCAGTTTTTATGTTTTGCCGAGAATAAACTTAGTTTTTATAAAGGTCTTAAATAAATTAACATGGCGCGATTTTTGCCATTTTTTACGATTCTCGTGAGATCAATATCATTGATCACTTTCTTTGAAGAGTTATAGTAAAATTTCCATTTTTAGAGATCAATCTATAAAACCTATGACATGAAATTTCAATTTTCAGTTGTGGTAACAAAGGCATTTGAACTATGAATAAAGAACGCAAAATTTAATGTTTTACATTACAAACGATCACACGTTAGGAGAAATGCATTTAAGAAGACGGGTTTGAGTGCAGTTTATTGCAAAAGTTTGTGCTTTTGAAAAACGTACTAGTGTAATTGAAAAAAGTTTTAAATGTTTTAGATCGTTTGTTGTGTGAAAGTTTAAATCCAGTGTTTTTTAAGCATATTTCAAATGCCTCATATTTGTTGCCAAAACTCAAAACTAAAATTTCATGCTATAGGTTTTAAAGGTTCTCTCTCTTCAATCCTGACCCCCCAGGGGGAGTGTAGTGTTCGACGTGATGTCGTGTATTGTCCGTCTCCAGAGATCTCTGTCTCTGGTCATTTCTTTTAATTCATGCATAGGTCTTTGGCATATTCCTGTAATTTGATCTATCCATCTTGTTGGGGATCTTCCTCGTGATCTTCGGCCTTCTACCTTTCCTTGTATTATGAGTCTTTCCATGTTTTCTGTGTTTGCTCTCATAACATGCCCAAAATATTTTAATTGTTGGAGATGGACTTTACTAGAGAGTCGTTGGCTAACTTTTAGCTCTCTTAAAATTGAATTATTTGTTCTGCGGTCGGTCCAAGGAATTCGTAACATTCGTCTCCAACAGAACATTTCAGTGGCGTCTATCTTTCTTCTCTCCGATTGTCTCAGAGTCCAAGATTCACATCCGTAGGTCAGTATTGGGAATATTAAGCAGTTGATCAACCTCATCTTTATCGCTCTTGAAATTTGACAGTCCTTCCATATTTTGGTCATTTTTGCTATGGCAGCTTTTGCTAGATCAGATCTACGTTTAATCTCTTCTTGTAATGACCCTGTGTTTGTGATTAATGATCCCAGATATAAGTATGAGCTCACAACCTCGAACCGGTCAATTGTGGTTATCTGTGGATGATTGTTGTGTAGTCTATCCACTATCATGATCTTTGTCTTTGATATGTTTAATTGCAGACCAAATATTTGACTTTCGTTTTCGATCAGTCGTATAAGTTCTATCAGCTCTGCTTGACTATTTGCAAGAAGGGCTGTGTCATCTGCGAAACGTAGGTTGTTTAGTTTATGACCCATTTATTGAGATGCCCTTTTCCCATCCTTCAAGTGCTCTTCGCATAATATACTCCCCATATATGTTGAATAATTGTGGAGATAGTATACATCCTTGTCTGATACCCCGTTCTGGATGAAATTCGTTCGAAAGTGTGTCAAGTACTTTACCTGATCCAGTAGTGTGTTCATATAGTTCGGTTATAAGCGTAATTAGATGTTGTGGTACGCCTACTTCTTTTAGTATTCGCCATAAGTGTCTCCACTTCACCCCATCGAACGCTTTACGGTAATCTATAAAACAGATGTATAGTGGGATGTTGAATTCCCTAGATTTCTCGATTATCTTTCTTAAATGCAGCAGGTTACCACTTTTCCATTTCGATCTGCGAGCTTAACAATGTTCTTCTTACCTAGAGCTTGACATCTCTTCAGCACCTTTAAACTTTTATTTTTCTCGACAACCGTTGTAATCTTTTTTGTGTTATATTGTCGTACGTCCTTTCTCACTGCTTTATTAATATCTTTATTAAGTTGTTGTAGTACGCGTGCATTCATATCGTTTTTGTTCTTAAGTTCTCTTCGTGCCTCCATAAGTCTTTTTGTTTCTTGACTGAGCTTTTCCTCCTTATCTCTCCTAGAATTTGTATTGCACTTTTTCTCTGCGTTCTTAATAGCTTTTATTAAGTTATCATTTAAGGTTTCGATATCCATAACTTCTATATTTGTTGTATCTAGACATCTCAGAATTTCCTCTTCGAAGGACGTGGTGTTTTCGATTGGATTCCATTGTATTGGGTGTGTTTTTGTTATCATTTTGTATCTTTGTTTTTGGAGATTTAGCACGATCTTCGCTCTTACCATTCTATGATCACTTCCCACTGAACAGCTATTAAGAACTGTTACATCATGGATCATGTCTTTGTTGTTGGTTAAGACAAAATCAATTTCATTTTTGGTGACTCCATCTGGACTTGCCCAGGTCCACTTTCTTTGGGGACTTTTTTTGAAAAAGCTATTCATTGCAAAAAGGCCATTTCGTACCAAGAAACCCAAAAACATTTCGCCTCTTTCATTTCTTTGTCCGAATCCATAGGGACCTATTGCTACTTCGGTCCCGTCTAGTTTACATCCCAACTTAGCATTAAAGTCACCCATTACTAGGTTGTGTGTAGTAGGCGCTAGTTTTACAGCATTTTCTAGGTCTTCATAAAAGGTTTCCACTTCCTCGTCCGAGTGTGTAGATGTAGGTGCATAGGCTTGAATTATTTTAAGGCTGGTTTTTTTATTAAGCTTCAGTATGCAGAGTATTATTCTTGGGTTGATACCTTTAAGTTGTTGGATATTTTTAGTGTGTCTCTTATGTATAAGAAGTCCAACTCCTCCTATTTTTTCTTTGTTTCCCGTGGTAACAGATAAAGATAAGATAATTAAGGTAGTTGAAGAATTTTACACAGAATTATATAGAGAAAGGGGGAAGAAAGACGGCACCAAGTTGAGAAAAGTCCAGAATGTGGGTTCAGAGGATATCCCAGAAATAACAACCGAAGAAGTTTTAAAGTCATTAAATAGAATGAAAAACAATAAAGCAGCTGGTGATGATCAAATCGTTATTGAGGCAGTAAAAGCAGGAGGAAAGACAGTATTGAAAGCATTGACGCAATTATATAACTTATGCCTTTCAAACGAGGTTACACCATCTCAGTGGAATAAAGCTGTTATAGTAGTCATGCACAAAAAGGGAGATATAACAGAGCTAAAGAACTATAGACCTATTAGCTTGTTATCTCACGTTTATAAGTTGTTTATGAAGATAATAACTAATAGGTTGACATCAAAACTAGACTTCTATCAACCTTGCGAGCAAGCAGGATTTAGAGCTGGATACGGAACAAATGATCATTTGCAAACCATTAAGTCGTTGATTGAAAAAACCATTGAATATAATAGACCCCTGATACTTATCTTTGTCGATTTTGAAAAAGCATTTGATACGGTCAATCAAAGTGAAATGCTCCAAGCTCTAACACAATGTAGAATAGATCACCGATACATATCTCTCATCAGATACATCTATCAACATGCTACAGCCTGTGTAAGACTTAATGAAGATACTGGGACTTTTCGTATTGAAAGAGGCGTTCGGCAAGGAGACAACATGTCTCCTAAATTATTTACAACTTTGCTAGAATACGCTTGTAAAACAATAGATTGGAACGAAAAGGGCATCAATGTAGATGGAAAATTTTTAAATAACCTTAAATTTGCAGATGATATCGTTCTTATTGCAGACAGCTTTGATCAGGCACAGATAATGCTCCAAGAACTCCATACTGCCACAAAAAGAGTTGGTCTTAAAATAAATTTTTCAAAAACACAATTTATGACAAATTTAGTCCACAACAAAAACATCTCAGTAGAAGACAAAGATATTGAGCCAGTTGACTCCTATAAATACTTAGGCCATGAGATCAGAATAAGTCGAGACAACCAAACAATCGAGCTGAAAAGAAGAATAAACCTCGCTTGGGCTGCATTTGGAAGGATGAAGGATATTTTTAGGTCTAAGATTCCAATGTGTCTGAAAAGAAAAGTATTTAATCAATGTATTTTGCCAGTGATGACCTACGGCGCAGAAACCCTAACGCTTACAAGAACAACAGTAAGTAAACTACAAGTTGCGGAAAGAGCAATGGAGAGAATTATGTTAGGGATTTCTCTACGTGATAGAATACCCAATGCTACTATACGCAAAAGATCAGGAGTAGCAGACGTTATTGAAAGGATAACAACACTAAAGTGGAACTGGGCAGGTCATGTAGCAAGATCAGTTGATGACCGGTGGACAAAAAGAATTTTGGAATGGAGACCCCGAATACAAGCATACAGAAATAGAGGTCGACCCCCAACGAGATGGACAGATGACATAAAAAGAGTGACTACAAATTGGATTCAGATGGCGCAAAATCGGACTAAGTGGAAGAGCATGCGAGAGGCCTATGTTCAGCAGTGGACGTTAGAGGCTAGTTGATGATGATGATGATGCAGCAGGTGTTCTCGAGTACCTCTACCTTTGGTAAATCCAGTTTGCTCTTGTGGAATTTCTCTTTGAAGGAATGTTTTCAGTCTCTCATTGATTATATGTAGCATTATCTTGCTGGCATGGGATATAAGAGAGATAGTTCTATAATTGTCGCATTTATGGAAGCTGCCTTTTTTATGTATGGTCGTTATTGTAGATTTTGTCC